ATTATTTAAAATGCAAAGCCGGACTACATATGAGAAGAAGTTAATGTTTGTTATAACATACCATTCACTTATTAGAAATTGCTACAAACAAATTGAAGAAGCAAACAAACTGGGGCAAGACGATGTCATTAAAAACGTGAAGAAGACTAAGGACCACTATATAGCTTCCGCCTTCCAAATATTAACACCACAGAAACAAAGTGTATTACTGGGTATGTGTAAAGTCCTTGACTTGTGGTGTCGCGACAAACAATCGAGAAAGGTCCGAGCTGCTGAGATACTTGAAGGAATTGTCATGAAGGACATTCCACTTGAATTGGTTCATGACATAGCACAACTGAAAATACCAAAAGGAGTGTTAACAGAGCAACGATATGACAATGTATGGCCACTCACTTTATATAACTCGGGACAATTGAATATATTTAATAGTGTTATTGGCAACATTATTCAAAAAATGGAAGACAATAATTGGGAGGACTATATCATGACTACTGAAAAGAAAATCACAACGACAAGTACAAGTATTAAAATCGATCGCACTGACCCTATTTGGAGAGAACCGATTTTCTCAATCATTTTAAACAGTGGAGTTGTTGCAGAAACCATTTTAGTCGCAGTTCGAGGTAAAATGATTGATAACCCTCTCAGCGATTATGAGGCAATCGATGTCGAAGGAATGCAAAAAGCTTTCATCCGAAATTTGAACTGTTGCGATAGAAGGAGAGTACTCAAAAACTGTGACGTCAGAAGTAAAGTAACAAGAAGTATGTCACTTTACCCTGGAGCGTCAAAAATGACACTGGCTGAAATGCTTCAAAATATAGATAATGGGTTTGACGTAAGTTTATTGTGAGTTTTTTTAGTTCAAGTTTGATGTTTTCATTTTGTTTCATAAAATTTAGTAATATATAGTAAATTTCAATTATTAAACAAGTAATAACTATTTTCAAAACATTTGTAATTTCTATATTGTTCGATTATTTTTAAATTGATTCGTTTTCCCAATTCAAAACTATTTTTTTTATATTTCAAATTTTAATTGATATAATAGATTTTTTTATTATATTTAAAAAGGAAGAACAAAGTTTGGTTTTAATTCAAATAATTTGGGTCACACAAGTTGAAAGATTCTTTGATGAGAGATTTTTGATTCATTTGATTTTTTTCATTACAGTAGCTGTTATTATTACTTTATTTATTATTTAAGTTCATTTATATTATTTTATAATATAGGTCGTTAGATAACTAAGTATATGGTTAATTAACTATATAGTTTTTAGATTACTTCTCAAATAAGAACACATTTTATGAAAGTATTACCAAAAAAATATTGATAAAACCAAAATATTTAATTTATTTTTATTATTTGTTTAACTTTTTATAATAATATAATTATAATAAAGCAGGTCCTTTTTCTTTGTCGATTCGGGTATTGATTTCATTTAAAAAAATGACAATAATTAAAAAAATATCTAAAAAGCCATTTAAAAAAATATGTTTTTTAAATTAAAATTTAAAAAGTTAAAATTGCCGAACACAAAATAAAAATTAACAAAAGCGGACTGTTATTTACATAAAAAAAACTTTTTTCAATAAAAAACGGCACAAAGAATAGCATGTTACAAACACATGAAAGAAATAATATATGTAATACAAACAATGTTCAAAAAATGGGTTTAAAAAGCATTCAAATATATTCAAACAAAACATTTAAAAAAATTGAAAAAAGTTCGAATAATTTCTTTATGTGTTTAACTGTTTTACTCTTTAAAAGTAATTCGAGCCAAATGGCATATAAGAGTTAATAATCTCAAAAATTCATTTTTGTCGAAGATGTTCTTTGTTCTTTTGTTTATTTCAGCTGCTTTAGCAGGAAAGGGTATTGATATGAGTACTGCCTTCCCAACATCAACATTCAGTTGCTTTGTATCCAACGGCTATACCCATGCCATTCCAAGGTGTTGGCGAAGTTCTGGCTCATGGGATCCAAACTGTGCGTCCAACTGCAAGAACGCTCATTCTGCTGGAATGTCACAAGTCGATGTCTACTTCTTCCCGTGTTACTCGTGTGGCAATGTAGCTGGTCAGGTTTCTTCTTTTTGGAATCAAATTATTTCGAACAAAGTCGATTGCAAGAGAGTTTGGTTTGACATTGAAGGGACTTGGAGTTCTTCTGCCTCAAGTTTGTTATACCTTTCACGTGATAAATACAGTAAAATTGATAAATAGCCAATCAGAACTTCTTCATGGAAATGATGAACGAAGCAAGAGCAATTGGTATGGTTCATGGTGTTTATGTTTCAAAGTATTATTGGGGTCAGTTCTTTGGTTCTTCATACACCTATAAATATGCTAGTTCAACTCCTTTGTGGTATCCACATTATGACTCGAACCCAAGCTTCTCAGATTTTGCTGCGTTTGGTGGATGGTCTAGCCCATTGATGAAACAATACCAAGGCACTACTTCTATGTGTTCTGGATCGGTCGATTTCAATTACTTCTAAACGACTCTTCTGTGTTCTTTTATACTATACTTTATACTATAAATACTATAAATTTATACTATACGAACTTATTTATTTTAATCAACTCAATAAAACCACTTTAACTTGTGTTTAATTGGATAGATGAAGAAATTGGACGGGTATTCAATTATGATCGTCGGGAAGTACTTTGAGACTCAAGACGATTTTATTAATGTCATGGCTGTCTCGAAAAAGTTCAGGGAATTGTGTGACAGATATCACTTCAATCCAATTTCACTCACACAAAAGACTCTCCATTTGTTCGTGCGACTCCAGACCCTTTACTTGTATACGAAACTCGACGATTTTCTACAAGGAGTTAATAACTATGTAATATGCTACAGAGTCGACTATAAAGAATATCTTGATATTAAAGGAAAGCACTTACACAAGAATTTGAAATTTCTTCATATCGAATTTTCTATGTACGACGATCAACTCCCATTTGACAGTTCGAATGAAGTGAACCAAGTGGGGTATTACGCATTTTCGTGGTGTGTAGACAACAGAGTTGAGTTGAAGAAGAACATCAAAATGTTATCTCCGCGATCTTTTAGCGACTCGGGAATCAAAGAATTACTGATCCACTCAAACATCAATTTCCTCCCTGTTTCGTGTTTTAAGAATTGTTGCCTTTTATCAAAAATTGAGTTGCCAAATACAATTGGAGAGATCAAATCATTTTGTTTCTCGAATTGTGTTGCGTTGAGAACCATTGATATTCCAGAAGGCGTTTCTTCTATTGGGATGTGTGCGTTTAAAGAGTGTATTAGTCTCTCCCAAATTCAGATCCCAAAGACTCTCAATACACTCAACGAAAGAGTTTTGTTCCACTGCGCGTCGTTGACGTGTGTCACACTACCATCTGCACTCACTCGGATCAAAACGGGGTGTTTCTCTGGGTGTAGTAACTTGAGAAAAATAGTGTTTAACCACAACAATAAAATAGAATTTGCTGTACCGTTGTGGATGAAAGAAGTGTTCGAAGGAAACGGATTTGTTGTTCAAAATGTGAAATACACTAAAGATGATAGAATTTTGAATGGTAACTTAGTCCCATTAGGAGTAACTGCGGTGGAAAAATATTGCTTCGCTGGAATGCCAAGCTTAACTAAAGTCGTCTTCCCAGAGACTGTCACAAAGATTGGCAAAGGGTGTTTCGCTTATACAGACTACTTACAAAGTGTTGTCTTCCCGTCATCACTCGTCATCCTTGGTAAAAACTGTTTTACAGAAAAGGTAAGAAGTCTCTGGTATTGGTGAGTGAAAGCACTCTCTTTGAATTTCAATGTTAAAGAATCAACAAATTCTGAATTTCACTATAACTTGTTTAATTATAATTTATTTTAGTTAAATGTACCATAACTTATAGTTTTTTATTCAAATAAAAAAATGAAAACCATGTATAATAAAAATATTATAATAAAACTATACACTCAATAAAGTCAAGCTTCAAAATTACTTTGAGGCTTGACTTGGTATAAAAACCCTGGTTCTATTCTTTTGCTAGTCCATGGTACAGTTTGACGAATATGAACTTCTGATCATTACTGGATATCTGAAAAGCGCGAGCGATTTCATCACTTTTATGCAAGTGAACTTTAAAGCGCAGAGCGTGTTAAAGATGTTCCGAACGAACCCGATTGCAGTGAAGTCGAAAACACTATTTCCTTTAATTAGAATCCAAAACTTATTTTCGAATGATGATATTCGAATTGACGGTTTGAAGTACAAAATATGTTTTAAGATGTCGTACGACCAATTCACACGATTGGAAGGGAAATACGACTACCAGACGAATGCAATAGATTTACCACAAAACATTACTCTCAATGAAATACCCGACTGCATTAACTCTATTGGTAAAGAGACCTTTTCACATACTTCATTTTTAACTTCTATTGTCATATCAACATCAGTGACTTCAATTGAGTCGTTTGCATTTACCGAGTGTCCAAAACTGTCATCTTTAATATTGCCAAATACACCAATTTTATTCATGAAAGATTGTTTCCACAATTTGGTGTCGTTGACATCTTGCTCATTTCCAGATAAAAGTTTCCAAATTCCATGTCGAATCTTTTCGAAAGAAAATAACTTGAGTGCTTTGACTCTTCCAGCTACTCTTCGAGTTGCTCCTTCATTCTATGAACATTTGTCTCATTTGACTTCTCTTCGACTGAAAGGGAAGAGTCCAATTAATGCGATCATCCCGTTCAGATTTGCAAATGAACTGGAGGCGCCTATCGAGAAGCAACAACTCATTTTGACCCGGGAAGACTTCTGCCAATGTTTTCAAAATGTTCAAGAATTTTTGGTACCGGAACAAGTCGTCCATATCACACGAAACTGTTTTGAGGGATACACGACGATGACCGCAATAACATTTTCAAAGACTGTATCCTGTATTGGGAAGAAGGCGTTTGCGGGATGCGCGGGGTTGAAAGAACTCACATTCCCCGAGAGTGTTTCTCGGATCCACAAGTTTGCATTTGATAATTGTTTCCGACTGAGAAAATTGGTGTTTGAGGGCGAATTCCCACAAGCAAAGGCAAAGTGTTTTAGAGGATGTAAGTCGATCAAAGAAGTTGTTATACAAGGAAATCGATTTGTGAATAAAGTCCCGTTCTTCTTAGCTCGAAAAGTTGTGAAGAACCCTAAGATGCACTCGGTGTTTAGAAGAGACGACTTTAATCAAATATATAACAATAAGATGAAACGACTTGAAATTGTGTGCGATGGGATCTTGTCACTCGGAGAAGAAGCTTTGAAAGAGTGTAACTTGGAAGAAGTTGTGTTAGATGACACTATCAAAGGGATCCCTTCAAGGTTCTTTAAAGATTCTAAAAGCTTGGTACACGTCACTTTACCAACTTCATTGAAATGCATTGAAGCAGAGGCATTTGCCGGATGCGAAAGTTTGGAAAGCATCAATATACCTATTTTAACAAGACAGTTCGGAAGAGCGTGTTTTGAAAATTGTAAAGCACTCGGGGAAATTCTTTATAAGGGAAAGCCAATGAAGGTGGACAAGAATTGGTTTAAAGGATGCGATTGTCTCACGAAAAACCAACTCATCAAGTTTAAATTCAAAACAAAACTTCAAGGAAAACAATTCCACGAATTTTAATAATTGAAGTGTAGATTTTTGAATTGAGTGTTTCCAAATAATTATTCTTTTTTTCAAGTAGAACAAACTCAATTAATTTACAGATAGAGTCAGTCCGTAAACGTTGTACACCAACAACGTTGTACACCCGACTTTTCCATATTTTTTTATCCTATTTTTCGGGATTTTATTTTGATTTTTCCCAAAAGTGCATTTTTATTTTTTGCTGCTATTTTTGTTTTTATCCTAATACCCAAAAAAATTTGGAAAACAAGTCTAATATTCGTAAAGTGTACAACGTTTGAGTAGTGTACAACGTTGTAGCAAGTACTCTAGTAGAAAATTTGGGTGTCAAGAATAAATTGGGTGTCAGATTGATTTTGAGTTATTTAGTGATTTTTCATATTTTTTTGGGGGGAAAAATAAAAAAAATACGAAACCCATTTTTTTACATTAACTAATCCCTAATTTATTTGACACCCAATTTTTCTACTATCTGTAATCCCTTTTTTTTATAAACAAAATTTCACATTGATTGTTATTTTGAATTTTTTGTCTTGAAAAACTATGATCAAAAAGTATCTTTTAAATATGAATAAAAACACTAAGTTAGTTTAACAACGGTATCTGTTCTGAAAAGTTATCTGATTGAAATGAAATGACTGTATTTTTGTTTAAATGGAAATTAAGTAAAAACTCAAAAATGTGAAAAAAATGAATTAATGGGATAGGTTTTTAAAATAAGTTCTCGAATTATTTCAATTGGTTTGGTAAAAAAGTACCAGATAACGTTTTTAGCAGATAACATTGTTGGACTGTTTCCATGTTTTTAACTGTTTGATAATAATTTACAATTTGATAAAATGAAAGACTGTGAATATCATATTGTTCTATATTTGATAAATAACATATTGAACAAAAATTGTTAACTTGTAAAAGTAAAAATATGTTTTTTTAATTAATTTAATTATATCCAAATTTGTGAATAAAAAACAATAAATTATACACAACAACATTATTTTTATACTCTTTTTAATCGATTATTAACAAACATTAATTTTATTTGATATACAGAGATTTCTCAAATCACAATCCTAATTACCCACGTCGCCATTTCATAACCAAAATGTTCCTTTTCATTTATTAATTAGTGCTTTAATACCACATTTTCGGCAATAATCAAATTGGAAAACACTGCTGATATATTCTTTGTATTATGTGTGATATTATTTATAATTATTATATACATGATAATTAATGGTAAAAAAAGAAAATCTTTAAATTTTTTAATCAAAATAAAAAAACGAGAAAAATATTAAAATGTCAAGACTCAAAAGAATGAATTTTGACTTTTCGCTTTTAATAAGACAAGATTCAAACTTATTCTATAAAAGATTTTTTTGAACTTGGTTCATCAACTCATACAATGTCAATTGCAAAGCCACAAATTCGAAGCGTTAGAAATATTAAAGTGGAGTCTGTGTTTCGACCAGCTCCAAAAAAGGCAGTCAAGATCATTACTTATGCAGAAGAAGAAAAAACAAGTAAACAAGAAATGAGGAAGTATTACAAAGAATTGAAGAACAAGAAGGTCAGAGGAAAGTTACCTGTTGAGAATGAAAAAAGAATATGTTACGAATGAACTTATTGACTGTTCTTATTAATTGTTACTAATATGATTATAGTACATTATAATACAAAATATAAAATAATTTTTATTATTATGTATTTATTGTAAATAACTGTATTAAATTAATTAACAAAAAAATAATAGTTTTTAGTACAAATTATATGAAATTGTCAAAAAATTGGGTATAATAATATATGGTTAATTGAATAATAATCAAACTATATTTTGAAAATACGACAAAGACCATCGAGTAACAAAACAATTTATGCACTGTTTTTGTTGAAAAGATGTCCACTCGAAAATCAAAACACAACAAGAAAGAAGGAAAGAATCAAACAAATATATTATTTCTGTGTGATGTATTTAAGCTCCTCGTGCAAATTATCGTTTTCCTTTAAAGGTGGAATGAAATTGATATCTGCTCTGTGAATGAAAGAATCTTCTGATTTTTCGAAGTCGTCGACTTTAGGAATAATAGAAATACTTTCTCTTGTGAGTGGATTAATAGAAGTTCCTATGCTTGGTCTATCAAACATAAGGGAAGTGTCCTCTGTCGTTGAAGTCACTGTAGACTTTTTGTCTTCCTCTGTGACCGTCAGTCGAAAGTTGTCAACGTCGTCAAAATATTGCTTTTGCTTTGTTAAGTACTCCTTCATTGCAATTTCCTCATCTTTTGTCATTTTTTCTTCTTTATGAAGTTTGTGAGGTCCTTTTTCTTTACAAACCAACTTTATCGTCTTTTTACTCTTCTCGGTACTCCTCCTCCTCTTTGGCATGATTTTTGACTTTTTAGTTTTTCGACAAAGTTTGGATGGGACAAAAACTCAACTTTTGATAACATTTTTGTGTTTTTTTGTGTTTTTGATGGTTCGAATTGTTGGTGATGGTGATGAAATAATCTTAGGCACTTATATTATAATATTACATATAAATTGTGTAAAATCTTAATCAATTTGCAAAGAACTATACTTTAGTGGGAAATAATAATAAAAAAAGAGACCAAACTCCCCATAAAAAGAACAATATAACAACCCTAAAACTGCTTTGAAAATTAATGGACTCGCGTCACGACAAGGACACTCTGGACCGTATTGCAGTCATCAACGACAAGTGTAGACCAAGCCGATGCCGTCTTGAGTGCAAGAAGACATGCCCGATCAACAGAGGTGGTGCCTTATGTATTGAGGTCAATCCCAAAGACAAGCGTTGTGTGATCTCCGAGGCGTTATGCATTGGTTGTGGGTTGTGTGTGAAAAAGTGCCCATTTGAGGCAATCAAGATCATTAACTTGCCAAAAAATCTTGAGACGTGTACAACACATCGATATGGACCAAACTCCTTCAAGCTCCACAGACTTCCAATGCCACGACCGGGTCAAATCTTAGGTATTGTAGGTACAAATGGTATTGGGAAGTCCACCGCCATGCAAATTTTGGCTGCCGCTATTAAACCCAATTTGGGAGACTTCAAGAACCCACCAGACTGGCAAGACATCATCAAATATTACAGAGGAAGTGACTTGCAGAATTACTTCAAAAAGCTGTTGGACACCAAGTTCAAAGCGGAAGTCAAGATTCAATATGTCGACTCGTTAAGAAAAACGGTCAACACTATTAAGACAGTTGGGGAGATCTTAAAGCTCCTCGACGAGAGAAACGCGTTTGACCAAGTCGTCGAGATATTGGACATGAAGAGAATCTTGAATAAGAGAGTCCAAGTGCTTTCTGGTGGTGAGTTGCAGATGTTTGCTATAGCGTCTGTTGCTGTCAAAAACGCCACTATTTACATGTTCGATGAACCCACGTCGTACCTCGACGTCAACCAAAGATTGAAAGCTGCGCAGTTGATTCGATCGTTGGTCACCACTGATAACTACGTGTTAGTCATTGAACACGATTTGGCCATTTTGGATTACATGTCCGACTTTGTATGTATGTTATATGGTAACCCGGGTGCGTATGGTGTCGTCACGTTGCCATTTTCGGTGAGAGAAGGGATTAACGTGTTTTTGGACGGGTTTATTCCAACGGAGAACTTGCGATTTAGAGAGGAAGCGTTGAAGTTTGCGATAGGAGATTCTACGCACGACGTCAGTGATGCGGTTGCCCTTGATGAGACCAAAGACGAAGACAAAGAGAAGATTGAGGAACTCCGCCAGAAGAAGAAAGAGCAGAAAGTTGTTGAGAAAGCGGAAGCTGAGAAAGAGCGAGCGCAAAAGAAGAAGGGAGGATTTTCGAAGTACAAGTATCCTTCTATGACAAAGACATTTGATCAGTTTAAGTTGACTGTGAAAGCCGGCAATTTTGATACTTCTGAAGTTGTAGTGTTGTTGGGACAGAATGGAACAGGGAAGACCACATTCATTCGAATGTTAGCTGGACAGACACAACCTGACGATGAATCGATTGAAATGCCTAAGATGAACATCTCATATAAGCCACAAACTATTCAACCGAAGTTTGAAGGAACCGTCCAAGAACTTTTGGAGAGTAAAATTAGCGCGATGTTTGTCCACCCACAATTTAACACCGACGTCATTAAACCTCTCAATATTCAACCACTCTTGACTCATAAGGTCAAAACACTGTCAGGAGGTGAGGCGCAACGCGTTGCGTTGATCTTGTGTTTGGGTAAACCAGCAGACGTCTACCTCATCGATGAGCCTTCAGCATATTTGGATTCGGAACAAAGAATCGTCGCCGCTAAAGTCATTAAGAGATTCATATTACACACAAAGAGAACCGCTTTCATCGTAGAACACGATTTCATTATGGCAACTTACTTGGCAGATAAAGTCATTGTATACGACGGCGAACCCGCTCACTGCTGCACAGCTAACCCACCAGTCGGAATGGTCGAGGGTATGAATACATTCTTGAAACAACTCAACATCACATTCAGAAGAGACCCGGATAACTACAGACCAAGAATTAATAAGCTCAACTCACAGAAGGACCAGGAACAAAAGAAAGAAGGAAACTACTTCTATACGGAACTCGACTAAATGCATCGTAATAAGTTTTTTTTCTATTTAAAAGAACTAAGGAATTATTGTTTAAATTATTCGATATGCTAGAATTTGAGATACTATATTTTATAGCTCTTTAACCATATTTTGAATATACTTATTGTATTATAATTATTTATAATTATTAGTATTAATTTTTCATGATTTGGATATTGCAAAGAATGAAAAAATATGAAGTAAAATAAAAACATGGAAAACTATTAAAATTAGTAAAAGAAACAACAATTATTTTGAGTTTTAAGAGATAATAAAGACAATAATAATAAACTAACAATGAAGTAAATTTGAATAGAATACATGAGATTGAAGAGGTGGAATGGTTAAATGGTTGAATGGTTCAAAAAAATTGTAAACAGAAGAGGTGTGAAATCGAAAACGTATCAGGCCACTCAGAACCGACAAAAAGTTTACTGTTGATGAGTGGGGAGTGTGCGTACCCATTCACAAAAAGGGTTCTGACGAAACTTGATGGATTGTTTGATACCCAATACCCACTAAATACTCCAAGAACGTCTGTTGATTGGTCATCTCCATAGATGAATAAAGTCTTCTTCCAATCTGGGTTGAGTTTGAATAGCTTTGGTTTAGTATGCCAAGGGTTTCTTAGCGTAAAGAGAAAGTGACAGTCGTCGTCCTCGACCCAAGTCTCTTGTTGTAATGGGACCTTCGAGTGGAATGACCCGAACAAACTTCCAGACTCTGTCTCGACAAAAATCATGATGTTCGTCCGGCCTTTCACGTGGGCCCAAAACTCACGAGAAGAAAATTCATGCTCTTCGGTGTCGTATATAACAGAGTGTCTTGTCGCACCTAACCAACACTCCTGAATACCATCAATCAAGGTCCCCATCAATATGTTCTTACAGTTTTGATAATTTTATTGTCTATAGGTTATACTGGAATCAAGCAGGAATTATTTTTTCTAATTATTTTACTATAAATATATGGTTTTATCGAATAGAGCAATTTTTACACTATCGCAGTGTTTTTGTATGTCTAAACGAATAGAATCAGCAAATTGAAATGAAGTTGTTGTGGATTGAATAAGGAAATGATAATTACTTATTAATGTATTTAACTATATTAAGAATTATATATATGGTGTTACTCTGGAATTTGTTTTCTTTGTTAAAATGAAGTTTCAACACAATTAAAAAACAACAATCAGAATTTGTACTTGTAGAAATCGGGAAATGGCGTGTGTTCGTGGACACCAAATTTTGTATTTTCTCCAAAAGGGAATACCGCAGTGTATAGAGTTGTGTGGTGAAGTTTTTCTTCGAGAAGTGGGTAAAGCAAGTCGAGGACTTCTGGAAGTAGATAAAGAGAGACTACAGTGATCTTATCCCAAGGAATTTCTTTGGTCGTAAAGAAGTCACCACACACTAAGTGAAGTGGCTTTTGACATTGGCTGCGCACTTTATTGGTTTCGGCGCGTTGAATGGCTTCCGGCTCTATATCAATACCATACCCTTCTTTACACTCACTTGCCAACAAACTTTGTATAAGTATGCGACCGTCTCCACATCCCATATCGAGAAGTATGTCATCCTTGCTGAGCTACACTTGATTACGTATTATTAAAAAAATAGTTAATATATAATTTAAATTTATTATATTTATAGAAAATGTCATATTCACAAACGTTCATAAAGTCGACAAATTGTACACAGACGTCGTGGGTAAGAGGAACAAACGGCGCCTTTTTGTCGTCAATGTTCTCAATGTCATTTTCGAAGTAAAATGGCATCCATTGGCATTCATTTGGTACAAAAGAATCGACCCAATCCATACCTTTCTAATGAATAACTGAGAGAATAACTACGAATTCAATTATTAGGGTTAATTGTGTACGAATTAAAGTATATTCAATACATCAAAAACTGTCATCTATATACTATTAAATATAAAATAGATACAATTTAATAGATATAATTTGTTAATAGTATTGAATAAGAAATGTCTCTTCTGGTTGTTGTTTGGTTCACTTTTTTAGATTCTTGTTGGCAATTGTCGACTGGATAACAAAAAACTTCATTGAAAAGCGACAAAAATTCCTCAAAAAACAAAGAACTGTAAAGAAGAAGAAATGGAAGTTCCTCCGCAAGCGTATAACTACATGAAAGAGGCAATAGAGTCCTCTGATATAGTGATGGTCCGAGAATTGTGCAGAGAATTTGGCGTCCCCTCTGCACTTCGAATGGATATCTGGAAGATGTTCTTACAACCCAAAAGAGAATTTGTCGAAGAAAGAAACACACAAGTCAATTACGTACCCGAGTGGTTACAACTCACTGAAGGACAGAAAATAGAAGCGACCCAAATTGCACTCACCATACACCCCGTAGGTACTCAACCGTTTTTAAATGGTGTTATAGATATAGCCGCCGTTGTGTCTAAATTGTATCCAGAAGAGTCTAAAGAATTTCGGTGTGGCATTACAAAAGCACTCTTATATAAATTCCACCCCTTTTTCAAGTATTTGTACCCAACAATTGTGACAGGTTTACAAAATTTGATTCACATGTTATTATTGTACCACGACCCGATTTTATCTATTCACTTGGATACTTATAGAATCGAACCAACTGATTATACCAACTCATTTGGCTTCAATTTGTGCAGTGGAATGTGTGAGGAATTCGACACTTTGGTCCATTTGTGGGACGAATTCATCACATTCCCAGACACGACACTCTATATCTATTGTATCGTGGGGTACCTCATCTTTATCAGAGAAGATTTCTTAGCTGTTAAAAACACTGAAAAAGGAACAAATTTTGTGAGGAAAATATTGGGGAAGAAATTGAAAGATGACGATATTAAAACAGTTGTTGCTGTTTCCAAAGCAATTCGACTTTCTACGGCATCGTCGTTCAATCGGATATTACTTGGTGTGATGAATAACTCAGATGCGTACCAACAGATCTTTTCCAAATCTTTGAATTCGTCACTCTTCTTACCAACACTTACAAATGATGTGATCAACGACAAAATGAACAGACAAATGCCGTTTCTATTTATCGATTGCCGACGACAGGAGTCGTTTGAGGTTGGTTCGATATTGGCGGCTATCAATTTGGACTTCTTGAAACGACAAGACGACAGAAAGTACCTTGACGATTTATTTAAGAATGAGTTGTCATTGTTAACACAAAAAGACTCTGCTTTTCATGTCGTGCTATTTGGGGATGATGACAGTGAAGATGGAGTGCCAGACATTGGGGAGTTGTCTATGATAGGGTTGGACTTTGCTAAACGAGGAGTGAAGCGAGTGTCCATAATGAGTCAAGGCTTTGTAACGTTCCACAAGAATGCGATGAATTCGATCAGAGGATTCCAGTTAATGAATCATGAGAATACCATATGTCCCCTTTGCACCACTGGAAAGCCTTTGAAATTTACAGAAGTAGTAAAAAATAGTAATTTAATTAGTGAAACTACTATAACAGCTGCACAGACCATAGCCCACAAAACAGTTGAAAAGACTAAAGAATTGAGTAATGGTTTGATGGGCTTTTTGTATGGGACGGCGGAGAAAAAGGAGAAAGAGAACAAAGAAAGTAAAGAAAGTAAAGAGGAGATTAAAGAACCACCAAAAGAAAATCAAATACCTCAAAAGGAAGAGAAAGTGATTGAACAAAAACCACAAGAAATTGTTCCAACAAAGCCAGAAGATACGCCTGTTGTGAATGAAGATGGAAAAACTCCCGATGAAGAAAAAGAAGAGGAAAAGGAAGACGAAGAAGATGACGCGTATTTAAAAGAAATTATATCGGAATCGTCTCGGTATGATTCGTACCTCAACGTCGGAGGTAAACAGACAATATGGAAACCGTTTGTTATGATTTTTATATAACATTTTTGATTTGCAAAAAAATATTTAAATGTTTTTTATAACATTATTTTGGTATCGAAATGTTATTCAAATAAGTAACACCCAGGATTGTTACAGTCGTCACGACCATATCACTACTCCTTGTGGAGATGCATGGAGAGAAAATAGTGTTGTTGGATGACATAAGCTTTGAATCTATAACAAAGGTTGTGATGAAGAAATCTGAGCCCGACAGATTTACAATTGTCCACACAGGAGGAAAATGTACAATTCGTGTGCCCGAGAACTACGCCAAATTCGTCGAGGAGATCTCCAGCATGCAGCAATGAGATAAGATACTGTGAAGTTTTTTGGGTTGAAGACAAATTCTATATAAAACTATAATGAATATACAAATTAACTATTAACAAATCTTTTAAAAAATGAACTTTTAAAGACTTAATGAGCGTGAGGGATAGGAAAGCCGGAGATAGGGAACTCGAGAAGAACCCCGAAAAGTCAGTGGATGATGTGGAAGATAAACTGAATGAGAAAATAGTAAAAGAAAATGAAAACACAAAAATTGTAGAAAATAAGGAAGACAACCCAATGGCGCACAAACCACTACTGGACAGATTTGAAGATGGCGTCTTGAAGAAATTTGCTATATTCACATTCTTTATGTTCGCTGTCCCATTCCTCATATATTATTCTCTTCACAACGCATTTGGTTTGTATTATAATTTATAGTACAATAAACTATAATTATAGAAATTGTTTTTGTTTCTAGCACTGAACTGAGATGTTTATGTATTTGACAAATTGATTGAAATGACAAGAAGGCGATGTTATGACTATAGTCTTATGCTTGTTTTCGACCATTGGAATTCTTTTGTGTTTCATTATGGTTGCGTTCAACGAAAAGATTTAATTTACTTTTTCTTATACATTATGTTCTATACAATCTAATTATATAATACATTGAAGATAACTTTGATATATTATCTTAGATATAATATATTTATCTTAGATATAATATATATATCTAAGATATAATAAAAATAAAACGAACGAAACTCTAAAACTCATGAGCGGGTCGTTTTATAGAGGCACGAGCATCGATCAAGACCCACACTTTGTGGACTCTCGGTCGAAATTAAAAAAAGCGATGGTGGTACCAGATAGCTTCTATCAAAAGGTCGATTTCAAAAAAGTGAATTTGGAAGTGATGCGTGCTTGGGTGACTTCAAAGGTTGTTGAGATCTTGGGGGTAGATGACGATATATTAGTGGGTACTGTTATTGGGTTTTTAGAGACGAATGTTTGTTTTCTATAAGTTCCTTCCTGATATTAATATTAATAAAATTTTAATAATATAATTAATAATATTTAGTATTATATAAATAATCTTTGGACTGTAACAAATAGGGAGAAATTAAATAACAGGGAAATGACACAGACCCACGAGACTTACAAATCGACTTAGAACCTTTTCTTGCAGAAAAGACAAATGCGTTTGTGAAGGATTTTTGGGACTTATGCCAACTTGCAGAAGGTAGTGTGGATGGGATACCAGAATGTTTACGAAACGCTGCTTTAAAGAGAGAGGCTGAGAACAAAAAGCAACAATATAGCAGAAGCCCAAGTCGTAGTAGAAGCTCTTCTCGCAATAGATCGAGGTCTAGAAGTCGTTCAAGAAGTCGTTCGAGAGGGCATTCTCGCAATCGTAACAGTCGTAGTAGGAGTCGAAGTCATAGCCGAGGGCGACATGCGAGAGATAAAGGAAGGTATCAAAAAGAGTGGAAGAGACAAGACTAATTGATTTGAATGTCTAGTTGAGTTCTACTATTTTATAATAATAATAATTAATAATATAAGTTATTAATTAATTAAATAAGTAGAAATTCTATAAATAAATAGAAACCATGGTAATAGTAAAATGAACCATTTGAAATCATTAAAAACCCAAACACCACTCAGAAACCAAAGTAATGAAATAGCATTTTACACAATCAAAAACATCAGTGGCAGTGATACGTCTTTTCTTCTTTTTGTAATCCATCGAACTCAAACTGCTTTCGTTCGACGGATTTATAATACTCTTGCATCTTGATTCTACACTCGTTGATGAACTTCCTCTTCTCTATGATCTGTTCGTTGAGCTTTCTAAGCTCACGAGAGATCTCGTCGTCTTTCCTCGAACGCGCGTTGATCGTAGCTAACTCTTCATGTGTTGTAATTCCTGTAGCTATCAAGCGCTCGCGGATGGTACTTTCATCCTCCATATTTCGCGTGTATTCATCAACATTCGTATCAACAATACCTTCAATCAATTTCTCACTCACACTAAACTCTTTTGCATCGTCTCGTGGACCGAGAGGACAATCAAAGTTCTCACCATTAGTGTCCATCAACACCAACAAATCATCGTAGTCTTTCTTCTTCGGATACTTCACGTATGGATATACTACATTGTCCCAATACTCTCTCGCTGGTTCATTCGTCACACACAATATCGGCTCAGGTACGGCAACTGCATTTTGTTGTTGTGCTGGTGGCTTTTGTCGTGTATGGGGTTCCGGGTGGTGTGGTTTATACGACCTCAACGTCGCGTTGTATTGCGTTTGTAAATTGTCCTTCATCGAAGTGACTGCAAGTAACATCGTTGAGACCTCTTTCTTCAACTTATCGATGTCCTCGTCGCCCCACTTCTTCAAATTCGAGAGCTACCCGTTAGCAAGACTATAACATTTTTATCAAAAATGTTTTTGATAAAATTAAAATGTTTTATAAAATGTTATTCAACTCAAGGAAAGAGAGGGTTAACCGAACGACAAAAAACAGAATCCACAAACGGAAGAACAACTGATCTTCATCAACAACGGGATCTGAGGAAGTGTCGTGATCTGCTGGACGGCGACTCGTGAAGATGAACTTCTGCTCATTGAAATGAAAGAACAAGAGAACTGACAAAGGTTTTAGAGAACAAATTACAATTAAGTTACAATTTACTATGAAAAATGGTTTTATCTTTTCGTGAAAACTAGTAAAATCTTCACTTTTCCGATTTTCAAGATGTGACGTTGTTTTGACTTTTATGTTCTATTTATATGCGTGGACAACAAAATGTTTTGAAAAATGTTATTCGAACCCCAAAAAAGAAAACTGTGGGTCAGTGAAAAATCATGACAACAAAACAACAAACTTCACGATGGATCGGCGTTACAACATAACCGGCATGAATGAAAAAGTCGTGAAACATTGAGAAAATGAGACTTTGAAGACTGAAGAGCCCCGCTAATGAAATTTGCTCAAAGAAGGAAGAGATTCAAAGAGAGGTTCTGAAGTGCGCTTAACCCTCTTGGAAGAGTGTCTTGGAGCGCCTGAAAGTATCTGCCGAGGGTTTTGTCACTGTAATGACACAGTGTACGAATCAACCAACTTTATTTTTTTAGATGAGAAAATACCCTTTGTGTATTTGAATGTAAAAGTCAAAGCAAACTATCAATCTTTTAATTTGTCTTTGTAATGTAATAAACGCTCACAAGATGTCAACACCAAACACCGTGTTTAGAACCTTCTTCATCCTCTGCAAGTCGTTGTCAGTCAACCCCATGAACTCTACGTTTGATTCGTCTTCTTTCATTTTCATTAAAATAGTGTAGCTGATTGCTGCTGCTAGAACGTCGTCCCACTTCTTGCTCCGCTTGTACACGCCAATCACCATTTTGACGTATTCGTTGCTTTCACTGGTCTTGAGGTAAATATCCCTTTTGAACGGATAGACCTTTCCAAAGTAACCAATAGAGTATTGCACGGCTTCTATAAAATCAAGTGACGGGGTGTAGAATGGAAGGATTAAAAATGCAAGTAAAGGATGGTTGAGCGAGTTTTGTGTGAACGCTGTGATATACCCAAACATCTTTTGGTACTCTGTCGATTGCTGAACCAACAACATTTCATCTTTCTCTGCCAAAGCACTCAAATCGTCTGTGCTCTTTTTCTTTTGTTCGTCAAGGACTCTTTTAATCTCCTCTCGAGCTGACAGCAACGGATCAAACGCTCTTTCTTTCGTTGCACAGGCAAACGCTTTCATGTACCTTTCAACAATATCTGCCTTTACATCGAAAACACTTTCTGGCTTATTCAACAAATTTAACACAGAAAGGTAATGTTTCTCAAGAAACGCCCCATACCTTGGCAACAATTCCGTGACAATTTCAAACGTCTCTTCGATGATGTCTCTGTCCATAGAGCATAATCCAATTGATATGATATCGGGGTACTCAGGAAATGCCTCCTCAATTGTCACCTCACTGAATTTGGGTGTGATGTGGTCGAAAAGGTATTCTTCCAAGTGTTCCAACTGCGTTTTTTCCCTCGATTTTTGCCCCCTAAGTATCCCTTCCGTTATTATCACAAAAGATGATACGCTAAATGACAACGTGACAAGACTCAACTTTTCAATCACAACCGCGAGATTATTTCTCAAAATCTCAAAAGCTAGAAATTCTGCTGGAGAGTATTCACAGTTCCTCATGAAATCAAACTCGAATTCTTTTATTTCATTTCCACACATTTTCGAGATTAAAGCAAGTTGGTAATACGGGTAGTCAAATTCCCAATCACATGTCGGCAAGATTTGAAAAATTCTTTTTTTCGACGGCGAGTAATTGTTCTCAAAAAAGTTTTCAGGAAGATATATAGTTTTTTTGAGATTTATTTTCCTTTTGATCAACTCGGCCGCATAACAACACTTTTTATCAGTCTCTATCAAAACAAATACCATAATTAATAGTAATTATACAATAATTAAATAATTTGGAACACTTTATTTTAAGAAATGAATATAAATAGAAACTATATTTATATTATAAAAAACAAACACAGAGAAGTGCCGAAAATAAATCGCGGTACTCACATCTCTCGAAGATTTCACTCAAATCTTGATCACTCAAATCAGGAACTGAATATTTAAGAAGCTGAAAACCATAAACCCCACGGACGCCAAGGAGGTGCACATCCTTGGCATTCTCTATTTTAATTTCGCGCCGTTTGATTAAAGCAGCCATCATCATGACTTTCCCATCTTCCCCTATCCACCCACGTTCACTCTCTTCTACCAACTCGAATGAGTCTTCCAACTTGATTGAAAGGTTTTCACGTGTGGAACACAAATAGACAGCTAACCCACGCTCTATTTCGTCTTTACCAATATATTGAAACGCGCGAGTTTTATTTTGTGATATTTGGATGAAAAAGTTTTTCTTCTCTTCTGGAGAAATGAAACGGGCGTAGTCCTCGCCCAACTGGAACAAACACAACGCACACCACATCGCCTCTTTCTGCACACCACTTTCACTTGTCATCAATTCAGTTAAACGGTTGATTATACCAAGCTTGAGATACCGCTCAATCACGTCTTCATCAATTTTGGAGGCGTTTTGACTGTTCGGGGAATTACTGTACTTCTCCTCTTCTTCAAATTTTTTGAAGAACGAGTTGTTGGGTTCTTTGTGGCGATAATATGCTTTTGTACCAACACGGAAAGTCAAATTGAGATTGTCGTGGGATAGCAACAAACGAAGGACGCTCACAGCTGCTTTTAATGTCACCGACTCATTTTTAAGCACAATTTCGCATAGAGAAGCAAAAACGTCATTCTCAAGCCAAAGGTCTTTGAAAATTACGTCAGTTTTGAGGCCGTAATGCTCGTAATCAAAATTACCCAAAGTGACCTCTCCACCTCCGTTAAGTTGGTACGTTGCTGTCCGATTGACACCGTTGGTCTTGGCAATTATGTTTTGCACAATGCCCAACATAGCACGCACTTGTGAAACGACATTCGACCGCAACAGCATGCCAATCTCCTTTAACGAGTAGCCACCCGCCCATTGGTCCTCGCCGTGGTTGTACAACCCACAGTTCGATACAAAATCAACTTCGAAAGGAATTATTTCGCCACTAAAACCAAATCTCGCGTTTTGTTCCGTCAATTTGGGAATTTTTTCGGGACGTTTCACGTATCCCATCCAATTCGCGTTTGCCGAAACGGTGTGTTCATTCACATCACAACATTTGTGACCTTTGTGCAACATTTGCAAAAACGAGAGTGTTTCTGGTGTGACGGCTTCTTCCTTTTTCTTTGACACGTACGTCTTTGGAGGAACAGGAAAACCTTGTGGAGAAAAAACAAGTGGTTTTGCCGTCTTTTTCGGCTTCTCTTTGATGTCGGGAAGTGTTTTTGGCATTTGCCGCTGTTTGCAATGTGGGCAGTTTTCATCGTGAGTGCATGTGGTTAACAATACGTTTGGGTTCATCAAACAGGTTTATTTAACAAGTTGCTTCACAAAAAATATTAAAATAAAAAAGAAGCATAAAAAATCTGTTATAAATGGCAAAACAATAATTTATTCAATGTCTGAAATCCAACCCAAAAGTGTTATTATTTCTGTTCTACAAAATAACAGACTTTTTAAGTGAAATATTTATCATAATTTATTAATAATAAAAAGAGGCCAATTATATTTACGTGTTTATTGACAAATAGTGTGTACGTCGTTCAGATTGAACATATGGGAAGGGGAAACAATAAAAAAGTGAGGAAAGTGTCTATATTGAGGCAGAAATAATAAAAACTGGAAAGGCAGAATGTCAAAAAAGATAGAGGAGAAGTCAGACGACGAGGCATTGGTTTTGGACTATATGATCAAACAGAACAAACCTTTCAACGCAAAAACGATCTTTGAGAATTTGAAAAAAGCGGTGAAGATGGCAACTCTCAACAAAGTCCTTGACGGTTTAGTAGAACAAGGAAAGCTACGAGAAAAGGCTAATGGAAAACAGAAGATATATTGGTACAACCAAGATCTTATTGAAGGTGTTTCGGCTGAGGCTTTACATGATTTGGATGCCAAAAAGGCAGAGTTGGTCTCGCAGTTGAAAGACGCCAAAGACGAATTAGAAATTGCCGAAAAGGAAAACAAAGGGTTGAAGACTCAAATGTCGAACGAAGATATCCAGAAGCAGCTGAAGGAGGTTACAGACGAGGTGGCGGTATTAGAAAAGAAGTGTGAAAACTGCAAAAACGCCAAACCGATCGACCCCAAACAAAAAGAAAAAATGATGAAAGAGAGAGAGGAGTATTTGAGGGAGTGGAAGAAAAGGAAAAGAATTACAAAGGAAGCTGCGGAAGCTGTTTTAAGTGGGTCAGCAATGAAGCTTTCAAAGTTTTATGAACAACTTGGTATTGAAACGGACGAAGCGAATGGTTTAACCCCAGAGATGATGACGGGGAAGTTTGAGGAGAAGCGACCTAATCCTGTGGGTAAGGGTAAAAAAAAGAAATAACTCTTGAATGGGGAGGTGTGATTTATTGTGGCATTCACTTTTTAGTTTAGCTCTCTTGTGACGGTGATACTCTCCATTTAATACATTTTTGCCGTTTTATTAGTCTTATTTTCATTAAAATATGTTGATTTTTGTATTACAAATTGCTCTTGAAAAGTAAATCTACAACTATAATTTATAAATTTGATTATAATTTAACCATTTTATTTTTATTGACAAAATAATTATTAAAAAAAATTAAAAATTTTAAATTTTTTTTTGTAATAAAATACATAAATATATTCTATTCAATTAACTATAATATATGTCATTAAATTAGTTTTTCAAAAAATGTATTACCTTTAATTAAATTAATTAATTCTTTTAATATAAAAAAAGACATTTTAAAAGAACACAAAAAAATTAATAACATATTTAGATGATAATACAATACAATATTATTATTTGTTCAAAAAATGTTTTCCAAAAATAGAAAGGAGAAACTATATACATATTATAACAAATTTATAATAAAACAAGAGTTTTGAACAGAACAACATTAATTGATTTGTTTCATCCAAACTCTTAACTACCAAAGGTGTTTTAAACCAAAAACCAAAAATGGATGCTTTAAACACTTCCACTCTGTTGGATGTGAGTGAGTTGCTCTCTACAATATCAGCAAACATTCTCCTTGACCTCCCAGTATTTTGTGAAGACACAACAGAGCCTTACTTCCGTGCACCAGCATCTTTTCTTCCCATCCGAGAGCGTCGAGAGGAGACTCTTCAAAACAGCGTCCCTCTCCTTCAATTACCAGGTATTACCATCAAGGAGATTTTAAAGAATTTCCATCGAGCGGAAGATGCTGTTTCGTTGGGTCGGAGTTGTCGCCAATTACACAACGTGGTCTTTGGACAAGATGGAGAGGCGTATTGGAACTCGCAGCTTGAGGACATCAAGCCATCCCCAAGTGTTCTCAAGAATGCCTCAAAACCATCAGAGACGTATAGGAAGTGTGCTCTCATGCGGAAACACTGGCGACAGAGTTTATACAGTGAACACACCTCTGACGGTCATATGAGTTTAGTGAAGTGTATTGAATACGACGGGAGTCGTGGGACATTAGTAACTGGGTCGAGTGATAAGAAAGTTAAAGTCTGGAAAGTTGATGGGTCCAATTTAGTGTTAGGCAAGACGATCCCTGGTCAGAATTGTGGAGTTGTTGGGCTCGACTTAAACGGTGATGATCTTCGTATTGGGTATAAAAATGGTGTCATCAAACACACAAATATTTTGAATGGAACAACAAAAGAATTTACGACGGGGACTGTGGTGACTGGATTTAGCTTTTGTGGGAGTTGCATTGTGTCGTACGAGCGGAGCGTCATTTTATTTGACTCCGAGAAAGGGACGAACATTGGTGAGTATAATCTCCACAGAAGGCCAGTTAGTTATGCCAAAATGTATAACACTCAAATGGGGACTTCTGCGTCGTTCGACAAAAGTGTTGACTTTTGGGACACAAGAAAGTTGAATGCGGCAGCTATCCGGTTGAAAGGACATCGCGCAGGAGTCAATCACTTCGACTTCTGTGATAATACTATCATCACTGCTTCAAATGACAAAATGTTGATGGTATGGGATATTCGGAAGCCAGAGGTGCCTTTTAAAACTATACAAAACCATACCGCGGAAGTCATTTTCGTGAAACATTTGTATGACAAAGTGGTTGCGTCCTCGAAAGATATGACAATGTCACTCTTCGACACAAAAGACTTTTCGTTGATTAATACAATTAACACACGCTCAGTGGTGTCGTCGTTCACGTACGATGATCAATATTTGTTCTGTGGGTGTAGCTCGGGAGAGATACTTCTGTATGACTTTATTTAGTTCATTTTATTATAGTTTAATAGTTACTTACTTTATTATTAAAACTAGAAACTTTTATTAACAGCACATTCTATGGGAGAACAACTTCCTGAATACACCAAATTTCCTCCGTTCTACACGTTTGATTCTCTTCATTGGAACTTAAAACCATTTTTAATAATAATTTAACTATTGATTCATCAATAGTGTTCAACCGATCGACAGAACAAGGGAATATCAAATGGAGTTGTGGGGACAAGTTGTGACGCAGTTTTGTGAGCGACGTAGTATATCTGTAGTGACATTGGCAGACTTCTTGAGTTTGGGTATTTTCAAAAATGAGGAGATCAATAGGAAATTGAGTGAAGATGGTATCAAATTAGTGTTTGACTACATGCAAAGGAAAAAGCAAATACAACAACTTGGTCAGTCTTCAAAGTACTTTGTTGCTTTTAAGAGTATTGTTGATTGGGCCAATGACTTGTTGGACTACGTTTGTTGTTATTATAAAACTATAATTATACTATTTTATACCATTTCATGGAGCTTAATTAAAGGGAACTACTTATGGACTCAGCGGCTCATCTACGACTTTCTTTTCGTTACAGAACGAAGACACTTCTGTCTTTTACAAATGTGATACCACTCTTCTTTTGGCTGTTTGCGAAGTGTTGAAGAGCAAAGGCAAAATCAAACTAGCCGAGAAAAACGGGTCGTACGGTATTTTGTGGAAATGAACTTTTGTTGTTATTTTTTCCTCTTATTGTCCCTTTGTTTGACTAAGATAAATCAAAGGACTTTTTTCATGATTTCAAAGGGTTAGTCCAAGAAGTAACCTTTTGCGAGCCTTTCCCAAAAGTCCACCTAATTTTGAGAAGTAAACAAAATTTAAAAAAATAATAAAAACTATTAAAATGAATTATTAAAATGATGGAGTGCTTAGAATGTGAAGAGATGAAATAATTCGAGCAAAAGACACACCGTGGAACTAATAAAAGGGTTTTCATTCAAAACAACTCAAGTCGATGTCGACACTGAAAGAACAAGGAAACGAGGCCTTCAAAGCGGGAGACTACTCGCAAGCACTCCGCTTATATACACGTGCACTTTTGGCAGACCCATCAAACGCTGCATTGTACTCGAATAGAGCGTTTTGTTACATCAAGCTCGAGTGTTTCAAGGCAGCAATTACCGATGCAGAGAAGTGCGTCTCCGTCGACCCAAATTTCACGAAAGGATTTTACAGACAAGCAAGTGCACACGCGGCTCTTGGCCAACTTCCCGAGGCCATATCTGCTTGCGACAAAGCTAAAAAGTTGGCGCCTAAAGATCAAGTCATTTGCAAATTGTTGACTGCTTTAAAGGAAAAGCGTCGTGAGCAATTGTTCATGGAAGCCATTGCTGTCGAAGAAGAGAATGAGACGACAAATTGGCGCGATATGGACGCCTCCAGTGCTGCTTTCAAAATCGACGACGACAAACCGATCACTCCAGAAATAGCCGAGCTTGCGATGAAAAAGATGTCCGAGGATACTGAGTATGGGAAGACCAAATTGCACTTGAAATACGTCTTAAGAATCATCGACGAGGTCAGAGAGATTTTGAAGAAGCGTAGTACCATTCAGGAAATCAATACGAACCGTCGTAAAATGACGATCGTTGGCGACGTCCATGGGCAATTCTTCGATTTGCTCCACTTGTTCCAAGTCAATGGCATTCCTTCGGAGAATAACATGTACTTATTCAATGGGGATTACGTCGATAGAGGATCATTTGGTGTTGAGTGTGTCCTCACGTTGTTCTTGTTCATGATTGCCTTTCCAAACTCGTTGTATTTAGCTCGTGGGAATCATGAGACTAAGTCGATGAATTCGTTGTATGGATTTGAAGGAGAAGTTCGCGCAAAACTTGGAGAAAAGGCGTACAAAGCATTTGAGGAAGTCTTCACACAACTTCCGTTGGGACATATAATCGATAACTCGATTTTTGTGGTGCACGGGGGTATTCCGCCAGACTTTGTCACCATCAAACAATTGAAAGAAATTAAGAGAGGCGGCGACCCTGTTGAAGAAAGTATTGCCTCGGCGTTAATATGGGCTGATCCACAAAGTTCAAATGGAACGGCACAAAGTATTCGAGGCACAGGGAAATCGTTTGGTCCCGATGTTACCGCTAACTTCTTGGATGGAAACAATTTGAAGTATTTGGTGCGATCGCATGAAATGAAAATGGAAGGATTTGAGTGGGCCGCACAGGGAAGATTGATCACTGTCTTCTCCGCACCAAATTATTGCGACGCGATGAAAAACAAAGGCGCTTATGTCCATGTTGTGTACAACACTACAGAGAAAGACGAGGTGCCTACTCTTAAAGTCGAAACGTTTGTCGCATCACCACACCCAAACATCCCGGCTATGGCTTATGCTACTTTGAGAGGTGCTGTCTAATAAATAAGATAATTGGATTCGTTTTCATATTGGAGTCAAAGAATAGATATATTTATAGTTTAATATTAAGTTATCTCTCTGTCATAATTAAATAAACAGTTATTAACTTTTTATTAATCGAAATTATTCATTTATATTATTATTATTCTATTATATTTTGGGGGAAACTAAATGGTACATTTATAATATAATTACTAATATATATTATAGTACTATTCTATTAGTATGAAGTACTATTAAAATGTAGTTTGATGTTTATTAGATTCAATACATAAAGTATCTTGTTATGAACTAAAGGAAAGAGGAAACTAGAAAAGAAGATCAAATGGCATCTTCTGTACCTCCATACGCTGATCCTATTAATTTCAAATTGCCGATAAGTGAACACCAAGTACGTTACGAAGAACCGTACCAAATCACAGATGACGATTATACGCAGTTTTATAATAGCTCGGATAATTGGTTTACAGCAAAGATGAGAGCTAGACTCATTTCATATACCGATATATTCCAAATTAAAACCAATTTCATTACATTTAACGTCGGAGAAACCGACCCATCAATTGCAGACGTTTCATTATTATTCACAAGTCAGGCAGAGTTGTACGTGATCACACTTGAGGAAATTGACATGACCCTTGGAGGTGTTCTGACATCTGGGCAGACAGAACTTCTTAACACTTGGCAGGAAAAATTCATGTTTGCTGTTGGGAAGGATTTCAAGTGTATGTTCTCAACACAACACGGCGGTCTTGGGTTTTTCCTCTTTGCGTCAGATGCCATTTCGAACGAAGTTCAAGACATTGTATCGTCGTCTGTATCACTTGGTAAAATGGGAATAGCGAATAAGGGTGCGATAGCTGTGTCATGCCGAATTGGTGTATGTAGAGTGTTATTTGTTGGAACGCACTTTTATGCGAATATGGGACAACAAAAGTGCGACGAGTGTTATATCAACGCCAGAAACATGTTTAATTTGCCTATTAAACCCGAGAACCACGACTATGAGATTTGGCTTGGCGATATGAATTACAGACTCAATGCAAACGAAGACGAAATCCGCGCTGAGATCAATGGCGATTATCTGACATTGTTGGAGTCTGACCAACTTATTGATTCTATGGAGAAAGGAAGGGTGTTTGACGGTTTTATTGAGCCGGCGATCACATTTCCACCGACTTACAGAATAGCGAAAGGAACAAAGGAGTATGACTGGAAAAGAATGCCGGCGTGGTGCGACAGAGTTCTGTTTCGGATACACAATTTGTATCAATTGTCATTGCACGTGTATGAGAGAGTCGATGTATTGGTTTCGGACCACTTACCAGTGTTGTGTACGACAACATTAAAACCAAGACGAGTGAACAAAGAAAAGATTAAGAAGGCGTGCGACGAGGTGTTGAAAATATCCAACGTGATAACAACAAATTTGGTGCCGTGTTGCGAAATATCGAGTTTGAAAATCCAATGCGGCGTGGTACGACCGTTCCAACCAGTCAAGAGTGGATTCAAAATGACCAACACGGGGAGAATCCCAGTCACATTTAAGATCAACTGCATTTCAATGAAAAATGGGACGGAGGTTAAACCCGAGTGGCTCCGACTTTTGATACCTAAAAATCAAATTCCAGTGAAAGGCGCTGTTGACATTGGAACATCGGTCATTCTCAATGCAGAGAGCGCAAAATCTATTAGAAATAAAGACGATATCATTCTTCAAGTTAGCATCGAAGACGGCGCAATCTTTTTCGTCGAACTGATTTACCAAGTCGACAACACGTCGTTTGGACTGAGCCACAAAGAGCTTCTTGAACATAAAAAGCCGTATTTGGAAGTCCAATCATCGCAACAAATTGTAGGGAAAACTGTTGCAAAGGAAATAATATTGTTTTTAAACACACTTCTATCGAGAAAGGCCGAAACACAAATATTCACATCAATTCCAACAAATGAACATGGCGAAATTTATCAATCAATCATTTTGTCTGTTGACGCAATGAAAGACTTGGGTGGGTATGACACGTGCAGTCTTTCAGAAGCGTTTTTACTCTATATACGAGCTATGGGAGGTATCATCCCAATTGAGTTGGCGAATGAGACTGAAATTTTTGGTATCAAAAAGTGTTGTTCGCCAGAAAACACCGCATTGATTAACGTGATTTGTGCGTTGTGTAAAGAAATATCAGACAATTCACTTCTTAATTTGACGACAGAGGACTTGATATCTTGTTTTACACAAAATATGGTGTTTGTAAAATTGGAGGTGTGGCAATTTGTGAATGTAACAAAGTTACTTTGTAGGTACACAGAATCAGTTAAGCCGATTGGAGAATTAATTGAAAGCAATTTGTAATAATTGTTTGTAGTTTAAATGTACTAGTTGTATTTTAATAATAATAATACAATTGTTTTAATAAATATATAAATTCACATATGTTTTAAATTTATTTTGAAAAAAGAAGGTTGCGATAAAAATCTTAATTTTATTTTTATCAAATAATGATAAATTCGATTTAATCCATTGTCTCCCCTTTAAAACCAACGTCATAATATAATGTCTGTTTCGAATTAATGTAAAACATATTTGATTAAACAGTACACCAATTGGTTAAAAAAACAAAATGTTTAATTTACCCTTCAAAAAATCATTATAAGTTAATTGTTTTATTGAATTCAAATAATCAAAAAAACATCAAATGTCTAAAACATATTATTCGAAACATATACGAATTTGTTATCTTTATACTCTATACAAATAAATTGTTGGATGTTTTATGGGCAATAAAAAACAAAAGTGTTATTTTTTTAAGTCAAAATAGTTATCCTAATTATCAAATAAAAACTTATTTGTTGTGTTCATGGTAACAAAAGAAGTTTATATTATTATCTGACGTGACCGTATAACACAGATGGTATCAATTTAATAATATTCTCTACTGATTAGATTTTATAATAAAACATAAATTATTTTTTAAAAAAAGGTTAACAACACTTACAAAATCAAATATCAATCTTATTTAATTTATTTTTCATTTCATTTTTATTGTTTCTTAAATACTTTATAAACATCTTGGGGGTAATTAAAAAACAAAACTTTTCAATTTGAATTTTCTAAGTAGAAATTTCTTTGAAATTTTTTAATAAATTTTTTAATAAATTTTTTAGATAAAAAATATTTTTATGCTTTTTTTATAAAATGGATTAAGATTATATTTGAGATTATAATGAAAGGTTTTATATTACTGTATTAATTATAAATCATCAACAAAATGTATTTGATAAGTTCCACCTTTTAAAAGTGATGGTCATTACAAACACTTATATACTGACATAGAACAACTGATTTTGATTGTGTATTACAAATATTGTTAATTATAATTATTAAAATTATTTTCATACAATTATATATTGTTATATAATGTAAACATTGTTGAATACATGACATGTATATAAATAATAATAATAATAATAAAAATAACATATATCAAATATTTAATGTATTATAAACAATATAAAACGAAATAAAGTATGTTACAAAAGTTTTTAATAAGTGTAATTTACCCACCAACATTATAAAAGTATTATTATATATTTTATTTTCGAAATATAACAACAACATATCAAATATGAATGATTATCAATTTTTTAAAACAAACTCATGAAGTACATTTTGTTGTTAAAAACAATTATCATAATTATTTTTTATTCATATTAACATTATCATTATTATTATGAATATATTTTTTTATTACTAGGATGTTTTTTTTCTTAAAGTAGGTTAAAAAAATGAATAAAATTTAATGTAATTTTGATCTATCAAATAATTGTCTTTGATCTTGTAATCAAATCAATATAACAATAATTTATTTTTGAGGACTTTATATATAGACAATTATCTATTTGTTCAAAATAGTAATACCATTATTGAAGAACAATTATTTGGTTGAATATCAAAAAAATGTTATTTTATATTATATTTTAATTAAAAATTAAATTATATTCATTGTTTTACATGAGACTGATTAACGTTCTTTTGTTATGTAAACTCATTATTTTGTGGATTTGTCTTTTTTCATTTTTAAAAAACATGAAAATTTATTAAATAATAATAATTATTATTAAATAAAAAATATTACTATTATAATTGGTTTCAATGACTAAAAGATAAAATTAGATTACATGATATTTTGAGGATGTTCTTGTGTTGGTGCGGTGAGTGTCCTGTACTGTAGTTCATATCTTGGTTCTTGGTTCATGATTGCAAATGGGTTTGAAGTTTCATAAGCTTTTCCTTTAAGTTAATATAATTCAATTCTATTGGTCCAAACCAGAAATTCAAAAAAGTGTACAACACCAACAAACCAAAAACGGTTGAAATTTCTTCCATTGCTGTTATTTGTGTTGGAGACAAATATCTGAATGCATCAGCGACACATTGTGTGTGAAATTGGGCCTGTATAGATAATATAGATCTGATGAGGCCTAATATCTGTTGTTCAAATGATAAATTTTGTCTGTCTTTTCTTAAATTGTTTTGGATTTGTTCCAAAAGCAACGAATTTGATGATAGAAGGGTTAATGTAAGAATGTTTGTCTCATTCATCGAAACATCAACAGACCGTTGCTCCATTTTTTCCTCAGAACTTCTATTTTTGCTCATTGAACGTGGCTTTTTTTCTTCTTTTCTAGACATTAATTTTTGTCGCATTAAAATAAAAAAATATGTTATTTCAAAAGAATAACATCAAGTTTTGTTGCGAAAGGATTTACAAACTTTTTAAGTTCTTCAAATTTCGTTCGTTTTTTTGAGTCGATTTTGGAGGTACTCCTGATCGCACCAGAAAGTAGTGTCGCTGTAACGTTCTTGTTCTGTACCAATTTTATTCTGACTCGAAACAACGAGTCTTCATGTTGACTTGACAACACTGTTAGTTTGCATTCAACTGCAATTTGTATCTGGGAAATGTGTTGGACCTTAAATCTAATAGGAGACGCATTCACAAAAGGTACTGGTCTCATGTCAGCAGTGTCGTACAAAAGTTCGCAAAATATTTCGCATGTTTCCAAAGAGAGGGTTTTCGAATTAATGATAATGTGGAAATTGGTCAATTTAACCACAACGTATATTTCTTTTGTGCCAATTACTTGTGTTTTTGCAGCTGTTTGTCTTTCAATGTAAAATTCGGGGGTTGTGGCAGCCATCTGCTCCATAGAATTGTCTTTGTCAGTTTAAGAAAACCCCACTCTTTTAAACAAAAGTAAAACATAACTGTTTTCAACATAGTTTTGTTTTTAGTTTTTTAATGACAATAAAACAAGAAAAAAGACGCGAAAAAAGTCCACCATTGAAATGAATTTGGAAATTTTTCTATACTGTTTTAACACTCGTTCTTTTCACAAAGAATTTCCAAAGAATTTTCTTGTTCCTTTTGGAAAGTTTCGATTGTCGTTCAAGAAATTTTTATTTAGAAAATCTTTTACATACATTATTTTTAGAAAGATTTTTCTCGGCAATAAAATACAAAAAAAAATAAAAAATTTTATTAAAAGACAAGTTAAATTAAATTATTTTTGTATTGTTATTTTAATTATATTAACTTTTTATTAAATTAATTATTTCAAACAAAATAATATAACAATTATTATTAAAACAGTTTGTTTGACCGTAATGCCCAAAAAGTGTTTCATTTGCAACAAATCACGGGTTTTAGAATTTTGATGAAACTTCGTTGTTTAGATAGCGGTCTAGTAATGTGTTCGTTGTTGGAATACATACAAATATTTTTTCAGTAGTCTAAATAATTCATTTTGTTTATGGTTCAACATTTTTTATTAATTTGGATAACAACCTACTAATTTAAATAAATTAATACACATAATTTTGAATAAGAATGCATCGTCAAATAAAATGATTCTTTACCAAAAAAATATAAATGAACCAAATAATATCGTTTTTCTTTGAACAAAAAAATTCGGTCGGAATTTCTTTGTTGGAAACTTTGAATATTTTTCGAGTCGCCTGTTTGTTTTTTTCGTAATGATCCTTTTCAATACAAATATAAGCAATATACCATTAATAAAAGAACAAAACTATCCTTTAAGTGGACGAGTCATTTCGAACATTTTAAAAATGGAATGCTCCTTTGTAGTTTTGTATGTTTTCAAAGCCTACAAATATTTTAGGTTAATTTGTCATCATTATTATTTCGATATGATTAATTTAATTTAAACTATAAAATAACTACTTATTTTACAAACACAATCCTAATAATATGTATAAAATGGTTTTATACAATTGAGAAACTTTTAAATATTGAAAAATATTGTTACATTTTTTGAACAACTGATTTTATTAAAATTATGGTTTTTCAGTACGGATACTCCAAAGATGTGACATAATGTTTTTCAATATAAAAGACTTACCAATTAATCCATATGAATTAATTCCAACTTTTTATATGGTTTGTAAGCAAAAGATTATTGACTATTTTTTTATTCAAAAAACAATAAACTAACAACATAAACATGTTTTAACTAACATAATATTAAGAACGAAACGTTATTATTGTCTTTTAATTTATTAATATGTAATTCATCATTCTGTTTTATTATGCTTTCCTTTTCAATAGTAGACTCTTCAAGTTTTTATATAAAATGTCAAAGTCTCATCATTTCAATATTTTTATTTTCTAATCATTTTAAATTCATTTTTATATTTATTTTGATTTTGAACAATATATAAAATTATATAAAATGAAGTGTTTTGATTGTTTTTATTTAAAATGTAATACCAAATGTTGTTTTGTTGTTAATATATTTTGCTAGATAATTACGATTAAAGTGTTTTTCAATCAAAATTGATGGTGGAATTCATGTTTGAACATTTTAATTTTAAACGTTTTTATTTTCAATTTCGAATTTGGGCTATTTACTTGACTCTTTCAAATTTTAGAATTATATCCACCATCAAAAAATAACATCAACAATTAAATAATTGAATAATTCACGAAATTTGGTATAGTCCGGTATTTTTATAATTCATGGTATCCATCGTGTGTATGATCCCGTTTATTAAAAAGTTTCAAAGCGAAAAAAATAACTGCACAAAGACCGGCGTATACACAAAACCAGAAAATCCATAACATCCATGGCGTCCTCTTTTCCTTTCTTCGTTTCAGACCAACAGTCGGTTCATATTTCACCTGTGTATATTCAGGGCTAATCGTCTCAAAATAAGAGTCCACTGCAACAAACCCAACGTCTCTACTCGTCTCGCCTCCAACAAAGAAAAGCAACGTTTCACTTTTCAACATATCAGCAGATACATGTGTCCCTCTTGAAGAGCATGGGTTCGTTACAACTGAAGACTCGTTTATACATTTGTCCCCTATTGAGACTTCATACACGGAACAGGATTTATACACTTCTATACGACTTTTGACCGACGTAGCTGCATTACACGTGTTGATATGAATTTTGCCGTTGACTGGCGCCGTGTATTGATACCACACACCAAGAAGCTTTTCAGAGTATTTCTTCTTCATCTCTTCTAACAAACTCTTGTCTTTGATCGTGTCAAGTGTCTTCATCCCACATCCACTTATCGTTGAAAACGCGTATTTAGTCAATGCATGTTGCCTTAGACCAGGTGTCAACAACTCTGCTTTGTCACACTTTGAATGAATCGGAGGTGTTAGTGTATAAACGTTCAGTCTAAACGTTCCTTCGGTATCAATCGCCTTCTCAGACTCTGAGATGTATATGTAATACTCTGCACCTTCTTGAGCATCAAATTTGACGTAACTCGCTACACTTCCGCACTCCGGAGAGTCGTCGTTCCCCATCACACAGACACCCTCGGAACATCCCTGAAAAACTTCTAAATAGGTGTCGAAGTGTGTTTCAATTCCACACGTCTCCACAACAAAAACGTCGGTGACTGGACTTTGGAAATAGTAGTACACGCCAGTACTTGTTTTGTTATCATTTCCTTTGTTGTTCAGATGACACACATTTGTTGTCTTTCTCCCATGATTCGATTTGTATTCAACCAAACTGAATGGCGCATTCATCTCTGTCGCCAATTTACACGCATCATGTTGTGTGCGGAGTTCTTTTCTGATGAACACGCCAACATCTCCGCCAGTGTTTCCAGAGACAAAAATTAGAATGAAATCGTTCGGGTTCACTGTGACATGGAACTCATTCAGTTGTTGCTCCTCACACTTTTCAAAACAGTTTCTGAAAAATTCGATATTAACGTTATAATTCTTCCTATTCTGTTTGAGTGCGACAGTCTGGACAAAGATTGGAAATGGCGTATTTAATAAATTTCGAACGCCGTACCAACTCCCATGTCGCTTTCTAAACATTCCACAAATAGGTTCAGTAACATCTGTCTTTTCCATATCAAAGGTATCATAAAACACGTCATTTTCCGATTTAAAAGTGAATATATGTGGATTTTGGCACGTTGAATTGCGCATCATAATATTGCCAATTCTCTCCACAGTCAATGTCACGACACATCTCTCGCTGCTCTTCCGACAAAGTACTTTCAAGTAGTAAGTCTTGTCCTTTTCAAGATATTTTTGGATCTTCCCATTCTCAAGACACTTTTCAGTCTCAGTGGAGCACTCCCTCATATCGTCTCCACACTCGTTGAACAAATGAAGTGTTGTTTCTCCAATAGCAGAGCTACTGCATGTGTGAAATGAGTAATAATTGTTATCCCCAAGAATAGAATACCAATTCCCCCCTTGATCTTCACTTTGGCAATTTTTGGTCATGATGCTTGGGTTCACTGTTGATGTGTGAACGTATGGAAATTGCCTCATCGCGGTCGCCATTTTACAGTGGACATTCACTTCGTCGTCCCCTTCAAATGCGACGATAAAAGTCCCTCTTTTTCGGGGTGAACTAGCTACATGGACGTAGTAAATTCTATTGTTCTCTGTATCGAGAGTTGTTTGACTCCCCATATTCCCGTCGGTACAATAGCCATCTTTGGAAGCAATTCGGTCATGGTTGTTACAACTCTCAAATACAGTAATTAGCGTGTCCACATTAGTCCCACGGTGGCACGTTGTGATTTTGAGTTTCTTTCCATTTCCTTGAAAGTAATAAAAGAGGCCAGAAAGGTCGTTGTAATTTGGTGCGATTGCAGTTGTAGTACCTTCTCTGTATGATGGAAACGCAGCGACTTGTATCGCATTCTCACACTTTTGGTTGACTAATGGAGGGTATCGCGTGATTTGCAACCCAAAAACTCCAACGTCTGATGGCGCACTCCCAGTCACCATCACATAGAACTCGTCTCGTTTCATGTCATTGAATAATAACCGTGCGGAGCTCCCACACTGGTTGTAACTATCATCATTAATTGTCAACAGCCCGAGACCCACTCCATTCTCGCACTTTGACATCACCACAATTTTGGTGTCAAAATTTGTGTGGCCAGAGAGACACGTGTCTATCTCTAAGATGTCACCAACACCATTTGTTCTAATTTTGTACCACCTTCCTGCGCCACTGATTTCAGTGCCGCTATAGTCATATTTAGATGGCTTTATGTGGGTTGTTTTATCTGTCACAGAAAATGCGTTTTGAGAAATCAAGTCGACGTATTCTGCTTTATCACATCGGGTATTAGAAGAGCTTTTAACAAGAGCAATAAGACAAATAGTGATCAGTATTTTCATATCAAAAAGACTTACAAACAGAGTTTTCGAGTTCCTGGTGAGTTACTTCAATAATTGTAATTGTAATTAATATTATTAATTCATTTACTATAATATATACTTTATAGATGTTAATAAGAAATATAAGATGAGTGTGTTATTGATTCTTACATCCCTCTTCACGTGTCAATTTTCTTACGGACTGTTTGGGTTCTAAGTCAGCGACGCCTCCTTCCTTTCGTTTTCGTTGCGGCATTTCCTCCACTTTTTCGTTGTGTTGTTCCTCTACTGACATTCCTTGGTCGATGTGTAAATCTTCTTTAAAATGAAGCAACGAAGACTCAAAGTTATTTCGAAGTTTAGAAACTACAGTGAACCAATCGACTAAATTCTTTTTATCATCGCACGTCCCGAAAAATGGAAAGAAACACGTCATCTCTCCTTTTTCAATTTTTGTGTATGGATTTTCTTGTGTGAAAGTGAAAGGGTGAATCACTTTTAGTTCAATATTTTGTGGTTCTTCACTCCCACAAAAACTCGTTTCAAATTTCAACTCAACTTGGACTTGTTGTTTTGGCGTCAATTGCGTTTCGTTGAAACTCAGTGTGATGTTCTTTATTAATTTAACTTTAGTTTTCGCATCATCAAATTCAGTTGCTTCCGTCACCTCCACGTTACTCAGCGCGACTAAAAGCGTTTTGTCAGCTTCAAAGTCACCATCCTCTGACAATTTTTCAATCACAAAAAGTCGTCCCCAGAAACAGGGAATTCCAATATACTTTGAGGTTTCTTTTGGGGTTTGTAAGGGTTTGAAATTCTTTAATTCTTCAATCTTTGCATTTTTTTCGCCGATAATATAAGGGATGATTTTTTTTGTCACCTCTTCGTTTAATTGAATGTTTTGTTTTGTTTTTGCATCAGTGTCTTTTATCATTTTGTATTCAGCACCTTTCACTTTTTCTTGAAGAGCGCGAAGTGCAAACAATCGTTTTGGATCGACGTCGGGGTTTGAATTCGTTTTGCTCATCATTCTTATGGCAAATTTATTTAGTTTTTCTCTTTTCTTTATTTGTAATAAATTTTAGTATATAGTCTTGTTCGTGATGCCTACTGACAAAAATCTATAATATATTTTTATTCAATCTATATTATATATATAGTAATAAATACCAATTATTTCTTATTATTGAAAATTACTTGTTTTGAGTTTAAAACCAATTAATGAATTAAACAAAATAGTAAAATAATTATTAAATTGAATCTTCATTTTTGATGATAAAATTTTTTTTTGGAAGAAATCGACTTAAAAACATTTTTTTTAATGTTTTTTTAAAGTTAACAACTACTGAAGATTTTTTAAGGTTTTTGAATATCGAATTACATAAATTAATACTCTTAATTATAATCAAATTGTTTAAGATAGGATTAATGAGAAACGCGACTAACTGCGCCGAACTTCAAACTCCAACTTGAAAAAAATCAAATGTCTCAAAAGTCTGACCGACAACGATCTGTTATGATCGGAAGACGGACTGATCTTATTTCGTCCAATGCGTCATCATCTTCTTCATTAACACAAAGCTTGGTACAACCACAACGGGACATCTCCTCTCCCCAAAGCGCGTCTCCGCTCAGTCCTTCAAAGCTTAGTAAAGACGCTTCACCCAAAAACGTCCCCGAACCCCAACAAGATTTGATATCTCCAAGAGACCCCACGAAAAGAGGACTTTTTTCCGGATTACCTATGGACGCCACTGTCGAAGAGATGCTTGAAATCATCGAAGTGTATAACACCAAAATCGAAGAGTCGCTGAACAAATTGGGGAAAGTCGGCCAGTCACAAATAACACCGACGTTTACTCCGGAGCAGTACAAATATGCGCAAGAGTTACTCGATAAATATCCAAAGACTTTGTACCAGTCGTGTTATAACTTTGGAGGGCCTTCTGAGATATCGAATGAGATCAACACACTCAAAGAACAACTGTATTTCTTGGACCAAGCTATTTACACGTTCAGCGAACATGTGAATTCCCCATATGTGTTGCCATATAGCAAAAGGCAACCCATTCCCGAATTTGTGTTTAAGATCAACAACAATTATAACGTCCAGACAGAAGTTATGATCCTCAAAATCCAAATCCGGCGATCGTATTATGAATTGTTCTCATTGATTAAGACAATGGAGTTTGTCGGCGACTTGGACAAAGTCAAAGCATTCAACGAAAAGGTCGACCTCCTCTCGGAGTCACTCAAGAGAATGAAAGAGAAAATTGCGAATGAGAAGCGAACTGCTTTTGTGAAATTGAGTATGTACACAGACTCAAAAGGCATTGAAACGGACGATAAAGGAAACGTTTTGTCGGGGCCTATCGAGGCTCTTGTGCGTTGGTTAGTCAACCCTAACATCGATAATAACATCAAATTCATCGAAGCATTTTTGGTGACGTACAGACAATATTTGAAGCCGACCGAGTTGTTTGAGAAGTTGGTTGCGTTGTACCACGAGAATAAAGTTGGGTCTGAAGATAAACAGCGGAATGAGATCATGCACAAGACAGTGTTAGTAGTCGTGTTGACGTTGTGTAAATGGATGGCTGCATTTCCTCACGATTTCTTGGACCAATGCGATAAAGGGATTGGAGTGTTGCCACGATTGGACGAGTTTATTAAGGAGAACGAAGCGGATCCGCTCATCACCGGTAAAATTGTGACGAACAGGAAGATGATGGTTGAGACGGCGATGGATAAGAAAACAATAGAAGAGCGTCTTGATATAGTGAATGTGAAAGAAGACTTTACTATAGCGACACTTCCTATCGAACAATTTGCACATCAACTGACGTTGTACGAGTTTGAAATGTTCAAAGCCATTGAAGCAAAAGAAATGCTTGGGAATGCGTGGACAAAGCCAGATAAGACGGAGCGTAGTCCCAATTTGTGTATGTTGATTGATCACTTCAATTCAATCACTAATTGGGTCATCTCCACAATAGTCGACGAACCATCAGTCAAACAACGTGGCGTGATCGTCAAGAAGTTTGTTTCGATAGGAGAAGAGTTACTTCGAATCAACAATTATAATGGTGTCTTTGAATTTTTCTCGGGGTTAAATTCAACACCAGTTGGTCGTCTGAAACAGACGTGGGAGAAAGTCGGGACGTTTTCACAAATAATGCAATCGTTGGAAAGAGTCACAGTCCCAACGGGGAGTTATCAGGTGTACAGAGCGGACATCAAAGCACATCAAAACTTCCCTTGTATTCCTTTCTTCGGTGTCTACTTACAAGACCTCACCTTCATCCATGAAGGAAATGAAGACAAAAAAGAAAATGGAGACGTCAACTTTGAGAAGTGTAGTTTGACGACAAAAGTGATCGAAGACATGCTCTTTTATAAGAGGAAATATGAGTATTACCGAAACCCTGAAATCCTTGCGTTCATCAGAAAACTTAATGTGAGGTATTTGGCGATCGGGGAGAAGGAACTCTATGACAAATCACTCATCATTGAGCCACGACAACAAGGTAAAGCCAAGAAGAAATAACCTTAAAAAATTTGTTTGAATTGTTCGTTTGATTGGGTGGTATTGCTACTTATGGTTGTTATTAGTAATAATATAATACTTTATAATTCCTTTAATTATTTATAATAATTATAGTAATTTATTAATAAAATGTGAAACAAAATATATCACAGCGAACAGCAAGTTTATTGTTTGTCCTCGGCTTGTGCGGTTGGTTCTTCCTTCTCTTCTTCCTCGTCGTTCTGGACGTTGTAGAACTTCAAGACAAAGCCCTCGTTCTTGTCGGAGACGACTCTGAGCCATTCTCTGAGGTTGTTCTTCTTGAGGTACTTCTTCATTAAGTACTTCATGTACTTCTTGCAAAGTCCTTCCTTCTGGGTGGTGATGGTCACCTTCTTTCCGTCAACAATAGTGACTGAAATGCCCTTGGTATTGCCAGCCTTTCCGCTCATTTTAATGGTTTGTTTGAAGTATGTGACAAGCTTCTTTGGCTCAATGAAATCGGTGCAGCTTGTCAAGTCGAAGAAACAAGTGAAAGTGGTGGCCTCCTCGTCCTTAGTAACTTTCTTCTTGTCGACAACTACTTTCTCACTTGCTGGGGCTTTAACGGCTTTGCTCATCACAGGCTGTACTTTTTTTAGTCCAACCCTTGTTATTTTCTCTTGCCTTTCTTTGTAATTTCTTTATAGTTCTATTAACTATATCTTCTATTTAGATATGTATTTGCTCTTGATTGATGTATAGTAAATAAAACTATTTGATAAACTAGAACAGTTAAAGATGAATTACACTTCAATGATGATCTAACAGTGCTATTTCGAAACGAATTTATACAACGAAGAAGGGAAGACGGGCATCTTATGAATGACTCTTCCCGTTTTGATCGCCTCCTTTTCCGTTTCAATGCGGCGGAAGAAGTTTTCTACAACAAGTTTATCCTGTGAGGTTGAGACGTCTTCTCCCGCCATCACCCGCACCGCAAGTCCCCAGTAATCCAACACAACGTTCCAATACCGCTCTTCAAGACACTTCCCACCTTCTTTCATATATATCACAAACCCATCCAATATGCCTTTTCCTTCATAATAAAGTCCTTTAATACCTTTAGCCAAGTCAAACACAACTTCATTCCCTTCGTACGTGTTCGCAGTGATCACAACTATTTGGCCTTGTCCAGACGTTGTGTCGTTCAACTCGGGGACATAATGTGAGGATGTCACACCACCGATACATAATGAAGACAAGAAGATCGCTATTTCTTGCAGCTTGTGTGCGTCATAAAGTTTCTTGGACTGGAACAACACCACTTTACACCCAACTAACAAGTTGAACAACAAGTGCGGAACCACCTTTGCTGATATCTCACTCACCAAATTTGAAAACCCAAACTTCGGCGAGATGTTCATTCGCATCGAGGGTTGATATAACGGAAAGATCGTTTGCATTGGAAATTCTCTTGGTTGCGGTTTCGAAAAGCTGCTGTTACACAGCGCGAAATTGCCGAGTGTTAACACGTTTGAAAAAGAAGTCATGTTAATGAAGTAACTATCATACGACGTGTTGTTGTGCGACGATTTAAGTGTTTCTGTTAATGACTCGAAGATGTTCTCCGCACCCTTTTCATTGCCAATCGCGTCATTCACCAATTCGCTGAATGTCATTGGTGACTGGAACGTCATTTGCGTGCCTCTCCAATACTTATCGCAAACATCCTGAAACCTTTTCGAGCACAACTGGAGTTGTTCTTTCACAAATTTGGCTTGTTGGCATGAGAATTGTCTCGATTGGAGCATTGAAATACACACAGTTGAGACGTATCCTCTTTTGTTACTTGGGTTGAATACAGAGAAGTGCACAGACTAGATGTTATTCTTCTATTTCCAATTTCAATAGTAACAAACTATGCAATGGAAGTCCATTATAGAGTGCGTTAAAATAAGGTTTTGTTTCTCTTTCGGTGGTTCGTCGGGAGACATCGGCGCATTAGCATCAGCAGAGTAGTCACACCCCATTAATACTCGAGCAAGTTCTTTCTCGACCTTTTCATTCAGTGGTTTACTCAATTTACTATATATAATGACTTCTCCGTCTTCTAAGTCAAATTCAACAACAAAAAAGCCCGTAAACATCGTTGAGAGTTCTTGTGGGGTTATACTACTTCGTGCTTTACCCATAAGACGGTCAGAACTATAACTCGAACTTGCTCGTGGGGGTTGTGATCCGTAAGACGAACTGAAGTCGGTTGTCCCCGAGTCGCTACTTGACATTATCTTTTTGAGTTTCAACGAAATCTTTTTGCACTTTAAAACAGTGTTTTTCTTATCTTTCACTTCAAAACGAGAGTTTAAATTGTTTGGTATATTTATATTATTTAATGTATATTACATGTAAACTATCAGATTAATTTCAACTATAGTAAAACTATAAATGATAATATCATAATTAATTACTATAGTCGGGTGATAAAGGGGGTTAATTTGGGACAGAAGTAGTTAATTTGAGTAAAAAACTATAAAATATAATTTATTTAACCATAAAAGTATTAGAAGGGTTTTTTCAATTAACTACTTTGAAAATAATAAAAGAAAACCATAACTTTCTATTTTTGATATTATTCAATCTTTGAAAACAATGGAAGAAGAAGAGAAAGGAACCCTTGATGAAATAACCACAGGCAATCAACATAAAAAAGCAATTTAAATACAAGAAACCAGTTTAAAAACTGTATTTCAATATATATTCACGATGTATATGGTTAAAATGCCAGAGTTTAATGAATTAACAACAGTGTCAATTTTTGAAAGTGTCAGGGAATCACTGAAAAATCATCATTTGTTATTTCAATCTTTCAATCTTTCGTTGTTGAACCATTTCCATTGAGAAAAGATAAGAGAAAGACCATTTTAACATAAAAACAATTGGAGTTGAAAAAGAGCAGAAAAGAAATGAAACAAAGGAAAAAACAAAGGAAAAATTCTTTAACAAAACAAGTTTCAGACAAACCATAAAAAGTGCTGCGTTTTAGACTTCCACATTTTTTAAGTGAACAAATTGAGGTGTTTTTGTTTATTTTTGAAATAGAAATTTATAATTATTCAATTTATAATCATTTAAAATAAAAAACGATAATTTATATTATTATTTTAATTTTATGTTTATTTTGACCTTTAAATAGATTTTTTAAAAATTATAGTTTCAAAATTATATTTATCAAAATTAACTACCTTTGTCCCTTTTTAATGCCATTTATCCCCCGACTATAGAAGAAAAAATATAGTAATAGAGTAGAGTGGCCATTGCAAGTAATAATGTCATACCTACAAGGCAAATAATGAGCTTGTTAGATAATACCCTCATCCACATCTTCTTTAGATACGTATTTGAAGTGTCCAAGTCATTATTAATAGCATCAAGAATGTCTTTGTCTTTTTGTAGAATTTCTTTTTGTTGTTCCAAATCACTTAAGCTGTCCATTTCAAGTGTCACTATATCGTCTAATGTGTTGTTTGACTCTTCGATATACTGTGTTGCTTTTTCAAGCTTGTTGGTCGACTCTGTCATTATTGTTTGTGAGCAATTCATTATATTACAGAGTTTATAAAGAAGACTCTTATTGTGTTCTTAATCGGAATTAATGATGTATGCTATGACAAATTCTATGTTAAAAGTTACTTTATAATATATTATAATATCCAATATGTCACAAGAAATAACAAAAAGAACTATACTAATAGTTTATGCAAATGAAGTCTACAAATATTTCTGCTTTTTTAGTTTGTTGTTACAAACTTGCCTCAGCGACTCGTATTGGACTCTCCACCGACTCCTCGTTATCCGCTGGTTGACTTTTTTGGTCTTCGATTTTTTCGTCGATATTTGGGTTTAACTCAATTTCTTCGTCAATAATTTTGTTGTATTCATTGTCGTAAGGTTTAACATACACTGAATTAATTGAAGTTGGTGTTACAAAGATAAGAAGTGCACACACCATTCCTGAGAGCATCAAAATGAAGAAAGGAAGATATTGGTTCAAAGGGAAGTTCAGTCCATTGACAAAACACCATGAGAGGAGTGGTGACATAGTCGATGGCCCAACTATTTTAGCAAGCGCAATAAAGCTCTGTGCGACACCATTAGCAGCTCCCATATATTCTGGAGCTGCACTATTTGATATTAAAGGTATTAGTGTAGAAAATGTGAATTGTGAGACACCTCCATAGAGTAATCCGTATATAACAAGTACACTCCATTTAATCATTTCGTTTCCATTTAAACCTTCTATAGAAGGGAATATTGCGTACATGAAAGATGTCATGAAAAGTGTTGTTGCAAAGACGTGGCGCAAATTAGTCAGTTTCATAAGTGGTTTAAATATAAATATAGTAACGAATATCCCAGATGTTGCAATTGTGATATTAAAGTATCCCACGTCATTCGTGCCAAAATTGAATCCACCGACCCCGTACTCTGCTATCATCAGAAGAGGAAATATCACAAAGAACGTTGAATTTCCAAATCCAAGTAACAAGAATTCAAAAGAACAAAATAGACTCCACTTATTCTTTTTATTAAAGAACGAAATTAGACTCTTCATTGTTTGTCGAATTGACTCTAAAATGCTTTTCTTCTGTAATTCTTGTCCATTCACGTTATTATCAAAGATATAAAAATAGACTAAGACAAATGTTATTAAACATAAAAAAGAATCTACTATCTGTGGCAACAACCCTGGATATGTTTTAAAGAGTGATATAGAAACTAGTGAAGGATACTTCTCACACGGACTATATAATAACCCACCTATCATAGATCCAATTAAAGAACCTAAACACCACATGAGCCCAACTAAACTAAATGCTTGCACTCGGTTGGTATTGTCTGTGATCTCAGCTAAATATGTTTTGACCACCCCAATATTGCCATTCAGCATCCCATTCAAAAATCGAAGTGCAAAAATGAACCAAAAGTTGAACGAAAACCCAAAGAGAAAATTCGTCACAAAGATCCCAAACGTCGCCAATAATATGATTTTCCTTTTCCCAATATTGTCTGAGAGTGCACCTATAAGGTATGAACTTAAAAACTGGGCAAACGGAAATGCTGCCATTAATATCCCACTGTAATACCCGGAGTTATTCACATCAGTGACTGTCCCCATATCCACTAATAGGAGTCCCACATAAGAGTTAATATTAGTTAGTGATACTCCTTCGATTCCAAGCATCATAAGCAAAGGAATCAATTTACTCTTTGGTATACCAGCCGGTGCAAACTCTCTCAATCCATTGACAAAAAACATAATAAATGTTGTCGCCATACTTTTCATTGTTCTTAAACACTTCCCAAAGAAAAATTGTGGTTCATCAATTGCTTCTTCTTTCATTGTAAAAATAAAGTCCATTTAAATCAAAACATGTGAAGGAATAAGTCGAAGGTGTGAAAACTTCTTTTGAAATAATACTTCGAAAATATTATAATTATTTTATAAAATTTGATAATTACAATATCCATTATAAATATAATAATATCCTTGTAAAAAAACTCCAGTAAAAAGACTGAAAATATATAAAAAAAACTATTTTTATATGAAAATATGTTTAATAAATTGTCTTTTTAAACATTAAATAGTTGACTATTATAATTATATAATTATAAAGAATTATACTTTATTGAGTAAAATTATTAATTTTATTTTTAACTCAATTCTTTAACACAAATTAATAATTAATAATTGAATGAATTATTAAATTTATTATAACCATAAATATAATATAACTAAACGACACAATAATAAATTAAAAATTATTTATTTGTTATAATTATTTATAATATAAATTACAACTTTTTAATAATAACTATTTATCAACTATAATATATAGTTAAATGGATTATATAATATAACTTAACAAATTAGTATTGAGGAACTTTAACCAAATTCTAAAAATGGAAGGTTACTTCTTTGCCGCAATTGAAGCAATAGCTTCGAGTTGATTTTGTCTGATTGCAAGACGTTTAGCTCTGAATGTCGGAGAGTCCTGAGCAGCCCTTTCTGCGTTGATCACTGTGTGTCAATACCGATTTAAAAAGAGACTCCAATCAACACAAATAAAAACAAACATTTTGAGACAATAAACTTTGAGAAGCCATCACCATGGATGTACTTATCTGAAGTGATAAATGGTGCTACTGGTGCCACATCCTTCTTGCAACAAATATTGACAGAATATTCATACTTCTCTGGTGGATTCTTCTGAGTGGTGTCGAACCCCACGATGACAAAGCAATGGTTGAATTGTGTCTTAAAGCTTTCGATATCAATAGGGTCTGGAGTTCCTGCATACTCCTTAAAAATAAGTACAACAACATCATTTCCGATATGTCTTTTCTTATCAAGTTGTTGGTCGTTGGTCTCCATAAATGGCAAATACGGCGCAATGTGGTACACCACCTGGACATTTCCCTTTGAAAATGTGTTGACATAGGTGTACTCCCCCATCAATCGATTTTTCGTATCAAGTCCACCCGCAAATCCAGTGTACCCGAATAGTTCCACCTTTTGGCCAAGGTTCGACAAAAAGTGTTCAAAGTATGACGACCCTTCTCTATTGTTAAAGAAGTCCATTTCTTTCGTCTGTCCTGGAGACCCATACAAAACGCCGAATTTGTATCTTTGATATGTGAAAAAGTTCTCAAACTTCACAAGAGAATTAAAGACGGCATCCCCTCTCATTGGCGTCAACGCCTTTTCCTTAAGTTCGGGGAAGTACTCTTTTATGATTTGATAGTCACTTTTGTTCTCATAGACGAGTCTGGTGTCACTTCGTTTGTTCCTCATAATAACCTTTCTGTTAGTTTTCTCATCACTGATGGAGAACACAGTCACATCGTTATCAGTTTTGATGACATAATTATTATGGTCATTAGCAGTAAAGTTCTTCTGATAATAAGGAATGCATGACTGTGGGTCGTGGACACCTTTAACAAGTAGCCCTTCATATTTGTGTGTGGTACAGGTGTAGAAATTCTCAACTTTAGATCCAAGTGGGAGAGTCTCCATGTCAACAAGTAATGGCATAGTCTTCATCACACTATCTGTCCATCTCTCCACTGGGAATGGGATATTCAAGAAGCTTGATCCGACCTTTGTAATTGTTTCATCAGACAATACTCCATCGCTGTATCTCTCCTTAATGATATTTACAAGTTTCTCCATTTGTCCCTTCTCAGCAGCAACATCGGAGAGGGGTTTCCCCTTATAAGTTTGTCCAACAGACGCTCCGTATTTCAGTAACAAGTCAATCAACTCGGTATTCCCTTTCATCACTGCATTATATAATGGGAATGTCTCGTTGTTCGCTTGGTGGTTGGCATCAGCGCCTTTTTCACAAAGGAATTTGATGGATTCCAAGTCCATTGAATTTGAGCAAATGATATTCAGCACCGTCTCGCCGGAGGAATTAGCGATGTTAATGAAATTAGTAGTATCTTCTGCCGACCCCTTGTTAACAATAGCTTGGAGTATAGAAAAATAGTCCTTCAAATTCTTCACTCTGCACAAGTAGTGGAGTGGGGTGTTCATTCTTTCGTTCTTCAATGCTCTGTCTGCGCCGTGATCTAATAACAAATTGACAATTGCGGGGTCAATCTTCTCAACAGACAATGCTTTGTGGAGTGGAGAGTATCTATTTTCATCACAGCAATTGACGTTGGCGCCCTTTTGGATTAAGAACTCGACAAGGTTCTTATATCCCTTTTCACACGCATAGTACAAGAATGTTCTTCCATTGACATCTTCGTCGTTCACCCCAAACTTCTTTATGTACTTAGATATCTGCGACTCAGCTTCTTTCTCGCTCATGACTTTGACACCTTTGAGTTTCTCAACGATTTGTGTTAACTTCTCCGACTTCGGTATCATCGGACAGTAAGCCATCCAGAAATAGAAAGACCCGTGTTCGAGGACGGGTAACCCTTCAACTTTCATATCAAATCCAGACTCGGTGGCCGTGATATTATTTGCATTGATTTTGTTCACCTTAGGAAACAAAGTGCAGACCATTATCTTGGGTACTACACTAAAATTGGTTGAAAAGTTGACGGTGAACTTCCCATCAACGGCGCTTGACCGCTCAATTTTCCCAAAACAGAATTGTTCTCCTCGAGGTGGGAAGTAGTTGACCAAAGAGTCAAATTCCTTTGGAAGTCCTTTACTTTGAAGATAGCCTTCCTCGTACTTCTTCACTTTGTCTTTCAGTTCGTTGATCTCTTCCTCAAGTTGCATCCTCATCAAGTCGAACTTTTCTTGGTCAACTGTTTGTGGTTGCTCTGCTCCTCCGATAGTGTAAGTGTAATCGTTTGGGTCAAATGTGGATTTGATTTCAGTGGACATTTCTGAGTTTTTTCAGTTCATAGTTTCGAGATGGTAATGTTTCATCTCTATAAACGCACTTTTGTCATTTCTTCTTCTTATTTTCTTCTCTCCGTTTCCATCCTTGCATTCCGTTTTAAGAAGATCTCAAGTGTTTTTGGTGTTATTTCAAAATCAACTTTGTGATTTTGACAATCTATTTCTTAATAGTTCTTTCTTTTTATTTTTACTAGTTACTTGTTTTCTGAAGAATAATAAGAATTATAATAACTATAATTAGAATAATAACTTTAGTTCCACAACACTAGAAAGTTACAAATGAGAAGAATGGAAGTATCAATTACGCTCATTTTCACTCTGAGGAAGTCTTAGTGAGCAAAAAGAAAGGTTGAGATATAGCGTATGGAATGAACGAATGGTCGATCTTATTTCTGATGCACGAGTCTTTTTCGAAGAACCGAACTTCATACATTTCATCTTTGCCCACTGTTTTTGGGTCGAATGTGAAGTATTTCCCGATACTTCCCTCTCCAAAATCATATGGCTTTTTCCCAACCATATTTCCACACCTCATACTATTAGTATTCACATTGAATATCCCAATATAGTCTCCTTCTTTCGCTGCAAAGGGCAACTCGACGTACAATTGACTGTGTTCATCGTCGACTTTTGTTGTGATTTTGACGGGGTTTCCGACTATAAATCCACTTTGGCAGTACAAACACTCATACTTGAATATACTCGGCTCCGTCAATTCAGGCGACTTCTTGAACTCACATCTGCACACTCTGATGTCATAGATACCCCTTGGGACTAATGTCGTAAACGTTACTTCTTGACTTTCTTCCGTCACTCTTTGATACTCGATGTAGTTCTTATCTTTTTCACGTCGATAGGTGTATAACATCACCAGAATGTCTCCGTCAAGCTTCCTCACAGCTTCGCTCAACTTAGCAGTCACTTTGTACTTTTCTTTATCAACTTCAATATATAAGCCAACTAGATCGTCACTGTTACGAATTGGTTGTGCTTTGTGTCCAAATTCAACAACTTCTTCTTCAGATGCTTCTTCTTGTTGAGAAGCCTCTTCTGGGATATTCGTTTGTCCTTGTATGTCTATTTCTTCCGTTGCCATCTGTTATTTGAGTTCATTGCACTTTGTTTTTGAATAGTTTTGAGCTATTGATTTTTGATTTGTATTGACATGGTATCCCGTTTTCCTCCGTCTTTTTTTTGCTCAATCACAGAACATCATTCAATCATTTAATCATTTACAAATAAATGATTTATTTAACTGAAAGAAAAGGCATGAAAAAACTATTCATTGATTGTAACAAAATTATAAATAAACTATACTCTATTAGTGATTGGCAATGATGTTTGGACATCCAACGAAAATGTCATTCCCCACTTGTTGATTTTGAATGCCAATGACGGAAGTCAGCCTCACACACCCGTCGAAGCAGTTGTCTCCGATAATGGTCCCATTCCCTTTAAACCCAACCCGGACTAATGATTTGCAATTTTTAAAGCAAAAAGAGTCGATTCGTGTGATTTGCGACGGTATTATAATCTCAACCAGATTGGCTGTGTCGCGATAACAGTTTGCACCCAACGCGACAACCCCGTTAGGTATCGATAAGCCAAAAATGGCTTTATCTGCTTCCGTGTATGTGATCTTATTTGAGAGAATCCCATTCTTCTTGAGATGTTCAGCTTCTTCATAATCGATGTCAAAAGGATACACTTTGATAGGGCCGTTGATCACTATTTTCGACAGACTGTAACATCCTTTGAAACATCCTATTTCAAGTTGTGAGATGCGACTTGGTAATGTGACTTCCGCTAGCTTCTTACAATACTGAAAAACACCGCCGTTGATCCGTTCAACACTTTGAGGTATGACAATGTGGACCAACCCAAAGCAATTCATAAAACACTCTTTATCAATCACTTGAAGGCCTTCGTTCAGTCTCACCTCCGTTAATGAGTAACATCGTTTGAAACAATCAATCCCAATGCGTGTGACACTCGATGGTACTTCAATCTGTTGTAAAGAAAGTGTTTTGAACAAAGACAAGTTCTCAAGTTCACGACATTGCGGGAGAGTGATACTTCGAAGGTTGTGACATCGATAGAAGGTACACGATTCAATACGATCCAGAGTACACCCCTTCTCAAATAACACAGTCTTTAACGAAAAACATTGATAAAAGGACATCCCACCCACTTTTGTGACAGTGGATGGTACAACTATGTGTTCCAATCCACCACATTGATAAAACGCGCCGTCTTTAATCAAACGTAATGATGAGGACAGTTTTAACGATGTCAACGAGCAACAATTGAAGAAGCAGAATTTGGGAATGGTGTCGAGGAACGACAAATCGACTGATTTCAAGTTGTAACACATACAGAACACTTCTTTTCCAATTTCAGTGATTTGTGACGGGAGTGTGAAATGGGTCAGATCATTACGTGAAGAAAACACTGAATTTCCAAGACAGACAACACTCTTTGGAATCACAAGGTGTGGTGGGATGTAACATTCAATCGTTTTACAGAGCTCATTCGGACGTACTCCTCGAGCTTTCTCCTTTGCCGTTACACTGATGTTACTGCATTTGATTCCACATCGCCGTACAAAGTAACTTTCGTAATAGGAAACCCGTCCATCGTATTTTGTAACATTGTGAATCGCAGTGATAGCATTACATTTATTAAAACAATAATTCCCAACTTCGCAGTGTTCCGGCAGAGTGACTTCTTTCAGTTTTGAGCACTTAGAAAAGCAGAAGTCCCCTATTGAAGTGACTGTATTTGGTATAACAATGTTCTCACACAGACTTTGCTCAAAACAGTCTACTCCAATCTCAACAACACCAACGGGAACATCAAATACTCCATTCGGCTGTAACAGACCTTTCACTAATTTAATTTCAATGCCATTTGTATATAACGCACGCACTTTTTGCCTCAATTCTAAGATGTTATCTGCGCTTAAGATGACTCGTTTCACTTTGATGGAATTCTTTTCAAATATTTCAAGTTCCTTTTCAGTGACTGAATACGGGAAGATCCCATTTGTATCAAGTGGCACTTGGAGTCGTTCTATTCGTGTGCACCCGACAAAGTTGCCACTCCCAAAGTCCTCCATCTTCTCTGGAAACACCATCTCAGTCAGACTGATACATCCTTCGAACACGCCATCCTCAATTTTCACCAGTGAATTTGGTATTTGAAGAACACGGAGTGCAACACAGTTTTTAAATGAATGGCTTCTAATAACTGAAAGTGTTGTTGGTAACACCACTTTACTCAGTGAAGTGCAGTCTGCAAAGACGTCTTCTTGCATGACGCCCACAGAAATAGATGGGAAGACTACAACAGGAAGTTTAGTACATCCTTTGAAAGTCCCAGAAGAGACAACAGTGACTGAAGAAGGTATGTAAATTGACGTTAATTGAGTGCATCCCTTAAATGCGTCTTCTCCAATGTGAATGATAGACGTTGGGATATTAAAACTGTTTAACATGACGTTGTTCAGAAAACAGTTTTTACCCATAATCGATGGAGAGTCGATAAACATCGTTCTTGTCTCGTTTTGTGAAAATCCGTCGACGTTCAAATTGATGAAGGAGATGTCAAACCCTTTAAGGACTTTTCTTGTTTTATAATCAATTTCAAAAGGATAGTCCCCGTGTTGGTCAAGCGGCAAGTGCAATTTCGTCAAGTTAGAAACTCCTCGAAACGCCCCAAGTGAGATATTAATGATATCATCCGACAGTACTATTTCCTTCAGTGCACTACATTGTTCAAATGCATTCTGTCCAATGTATTTCAGTGTCGACAACGTGTTAATTGCTCTCAGCGAAACACAACTCTCAAACCCACACGTATCAATTTCAGTGACTCTTTTCATCACAACAGACGTTAACGAGACACATCCAGAAAACGCTTTAAATGGAATAGATCTGATGTTGTCTGGAAGTTCAATAGTAGACAGCTGTGCGCAAAACACAAAGCATTGATGTCCAAACAAACACAATGATTTCGGCAACAGTATGTCACTCATATGTAAACACCCAAAGAAACACGCAGGTCCAAATTCGGTAATCCCTTCCGGAATTTCAATTCTCGACAACGCTTGACAATTCGCAAAGCAACAAAATGGGAGTGTCGACAGATTCGTCGACAAAGTGACTTCTTTAAGTCCCAAACAAGAGAAAAATGCCTTCTCATACAGAGAAGTTATGTTATTTGGAATGACCAGTGAAGACGTTTTGATGAGACACTCCGTATCAATTTCAGTGACATCTTTCAGATCAATGGTATTGATATAGCCAATATCGTCCTTCTTCAAAACAATTCGTTTCACTTTATTCAGTTTCTTTTTCTGTTCCGACGCTTCTCGATACGAAAGAGGGTATCGGAAGTTCACCAAAATCTTGTCGTCGTCCACTTGTGGTTCAAACGGAAAGTATTTGTAATGCGTTTGCATATTTTTGAAGATGTTTCTCTTGATAATTGGTATTGGATTGTAGTGGAATTTGTCGATCGTCTCTTCAAACTTTTTACAGACTTGAATGACTTTAAGGAAGTCGTCCTCTTCCAAGAAATACTTCGAGACTATCATCAAGCTATACCCATCAAGTCGTTTCATCAAACTGACTTTTCAGTCTTTCCAGTTTCTAAAGGAAAAACACTGGTTTCCTTCAAATGAAGAAAAGTACAATTCAAACTAAATATAAACGACACCAACTGAATTACACCCATTGAATGGCATACATTCTCTTGACAACAAAACGAGTCGGGTAATGGCTTCCAACAAAAAGATCCGCTCCCTTTCCAGTACTGTCCAAGTAATACGACCCAAACGTTGGGATGAAGTACGAATTGGTGGTGAATATGCTGAAGCAGTCCGACGCGCCCATGACGGCGTCCCCGTCAGATGGTGATATTCTGAGCGTAGTCGATATTTTTTTCCTGCCAAATTTGGTTGGTTGGATGTTGTGTGGGTTTTTCAAAGTGAAGACAAAGTAGTTGGGGTCTTTCTCGATATATGCTGTGTCTGAATTAACTGGTGGGGGTGGGACAGCAAATGAGTTGAACGTTCCAAAGATGTGTGAGTCTGTGGTGATGATGATAGTCATCATATTAGTGACGGATGATGTTGTTGTATTGAAAGCAGCCGGAATCAGTCCGTCTCTTGATGAGTCATACAACATTCTATAAGACATCTTCCCCGTCCATCCCTGCAACACAGTGATGTCAGTAATCTCTGGCAAGTCAGACGATGTTGGTAATGCGGTGAACGTCGATGAACTCACGGTGACTCTTGAAGCCTTCTCAGCTTTTTCTTCCTTGTCGGCGGCTTTTTCTTCCTGAGACTTCCCAGATTCGAGTTTCTCAACTCGCGCGGTAAGCGCGGTAAGGATCTCAAAAATCGTGTTGAGTGCCGGCTGGTTCTCTTTCGGTAATTTAGCAATTTCGCCTTGCAATTTGGTCAGCTGCTCACGGGGCGATGTCATTGTCTTCTCCAGTTCTATTCTTTTTATTTTATCATTCCTCTTATCGGTCTTCTTTCTACAATCGACGTCAATCGTAATTAATTCATTTATTTTATAATAAATTTACCATAAAAATTTATTATTTTCAATCCCAAGTTTTCACTTTTTTCAAGTGTTTGAATTATTCTGTAGAATTTAATTAATTAAATAATTAACTAATATTATAATTAATAATAATTAATTACTAGTTCTATTATTATTAAAATATATAATAAACATTATTATATAATATAGTTTTTATTTTCTATTTTAATTTGTTGAAAAAAACCAGTTCCAAATATATTGTCCAATTTCAAATAAAAATATGAATTTATATTTTGGAATGGGACAATTTATTTTGTACTTTTTTTTAATTAATTTATAATTTATTTAATTATAATTGTATAATACAACAATAAAACAGTATTAAACAGAATAAAAAGTCAACAGTTATTTAATAATTATAATAACTAAAAATCACTTTTTCTTTTTCACAAGTTGCTTCTTGAGTGTGTTCATTTCCTCAACTAACTCGAAATTCGCCATTTGCAGTTTTGCGATATCTTCGGAAAGTCTTTTAATCAAGTCATCATTTCCTTCGTTTTGTCGTCCTTTTGACGCGATAATGACGGAAGACGTTTTGTCCTCGCTTTTAAAATTACAGTCCGAGATAGTAAACGAGAATTCAAATCCGTGGTACAAATCTTTAAAAAAGTTAACGAGCATGACAACAATTTTATTATTTTTGTCATTCAATGTTTTTTCCTCTCTCGTTCCGATTTTTAAATCCTCGTCCTTCTTTTTTTCTTTTGGTTGGATATACGATTCAATCCAATTCTTTCCACCAATTCCGAAGATTGACGATATTCCAACGTCAATACCTTGAAGTTTGACGTCAATCTTGAGTTGTTTCTCCTCACTAAACAATCTCCCAACGTCATACGACCCTCTCATATATATAGCGTGTTCAATTTGATCCACTTTTCTCGACGTGACAAATTCAAATGGTGAAAGGCATTTCTCTACTTTGTCTGATTTTGGGTTGTCAATGAACACACAAAATCCACGATTTGAAGCATCTCCGACAAGCGCAATACACATGTCTTCGACTTCAAAGACACTTGTAGTATCTTCGTGAGTTGTTCCGGTCATTGTCGCGAATGGGAACTCGAATACACCTTTATGAATCATTATCCCCATCGAAAGCCGTGGTGTCGTTTTATCATCCAAAAGTGGCAGAACAAATTCTTTGACGGTTTTCAAGAAATCTTCGATGAAACTCGTTTGGTAAATCTTCTCGTTGACTTTCTCTTTTAACGCGGCCATTTGCGACGAGATGCCTTTTGTGACTTCTTTTCCAAGTCTATTGAAATATTTCGACAAAGAAATTGCCAAGTCCGATGTGATGTGCATTGAGATGGAACTGATCACCCATTCAATGTCAATCATTCGAACTCGATTCATTGTATCCATATATACCATGACATTTAATATTCCTTTCATTGGTAAGAGCGCTTCTGTCTTATCACCTTTTTGCGTCAAATAAATCACTTTCATTCCTCCACACCCTATCGACAACTTCAATTGTTTGGTCTTCTCGTAGACCTCCAAACTACGTTGTAACACTTCGGTACTGTATTTTGTGGTCGCTATTTGCGAGAAGGATGGCTTGTTGGTCAGTTGAATGGCATCAACAATTATATTACACCCTCCACCCTCTGCAAAAGGAATACTCAAAACACTCTTCTTCATCTCCAAGTTGATTTCAACTTGCTCGAGCAACTCCACAAAATCGTGGTGTCCAGTCTTCTCGGAGATCAATGAAAGCCACGTCTTCCCAATTTCTAAGAACTGTTGGATCGTTCCAATAAATCCCAATTTCCCCTTGCCCTCTTTGTCTTTCTCTTCAACAGTTTCAATACGTTCGACTTTGGCGGGTTTCTCACTCGCGACATTCACTTTGTCTAAAATCGCCGACTTGGTGAAAGCAATAAGTTGAAGGACAACATCACTCTCCAAAGACACTTCAACACCATCAAAAGTACAATCCAATTTGATTTTGTCGAGGACTCCCGATGTCCTGTTAACCATCAATTTGGTCTCAAGAACGTGATCACCAAACCCACTCAACACTCTCTTGCCAACACCATTCATCTCGTACATCATTTCTACCATAGACACGCCAGTCTCTAATGTTAAGGTGCTCATATCGGCAATTGTTTCGACGATAACATTCCCTTTAAATTTCTCTGTGACAAATCTGAGGACCTGTGTCGAGTTGTCGTTTTTCACAGTGATTTCTACTGTTCCAATTAACAGTTGCACACCATTCCGATTCATTTTGGTGATTTCATTCTTCTTCTTAGTACTTTCATTCCTCAAAACAAGAGAAGATGTGTACAACGTGATCATGTGGAAGAGAAATTTCGAGAGGGACATATATTCTTCCGTTAAGAGTAAAAGGCGAAGTTTGTTAATGTTAAGTCGAACGTTTGTGTCGATAAGTTGGTATGTCTCCGCGTCTCTTTTCTGTGATATTTGACCCGATACAGTGACGTTTCTCAGTAAATTAAACTCTTTATTATCTCGCGACATCTTTACATTCAACCCACTAACCTCCAGGACTCTATAAAAGTTAACTGTATCACCGTCTACATATGGTTGAGGAACTTCATTCACTTTCTAATAGTCACATCTCTGTTTTATACTGAACTGAGTTACAAACCTCATACCTGTCATTTGCAAAGTAAGTAGATAAGGTGTCGAATGAAACTATTAACTTGGTATCGCCAGTTTCAAACTCAACAATGAAGTCTGTCACGTTGAGTAATATTGTGTCGATGATTTGTCGTTTTGACTTTTTTGATGTGTTTTTAATGACCAAAACCGTTTTCCCAAACTCGCCTTCGGTGTCTTCTTTTGCTTGAAGTCTAATACCTTTGGCCTGGATAATTATTGGCTTCTTCATTAGAGCAAGTGGAACAGTGACATCCATCTCTGCACATGATGCATTTAAGACACTGATTTGTTGTGGGAGGAGTAACATTTGTCTCATTACTTCTTCTTTGAGTTGAACATCTTTAAGATGGAGAACACTATTAACACCAACTTTGATATCATTTCCACTCCCAAGACTTGGACATGACTTCACGTAGTTTGAAAGAACAGTTTTCAGGACTTTGGAAACAAGTAAATCCATTGGTATTGTGATTTTCAAGTTTAGGTAAAAAGTTGTTATTGAAGGTTTCTTCGAACGCTTTGTTTATTTGAGAAAAACAGTGTAATCAATATCTTTTATAACAAATTGTGTATAAAAATTGGTTGTTGGTATTTTTTTTTTTATTGTATCTCATCTTGTAAATATAATTATCAATAATATTTTTATTATAATCTTTTTGCTTTATTTTTTACAAAGTAAATTATAACAAATTATTTTTATAGTATTTCAATTAAAATAAAATTTCAAATATTATTTATAATTCTAAAAAATATATATAATTAAAATAACTATATATTTAAATATAGTATTTTTTAGTTTTGTGATTGAATTTGTAACTAATTTTTTGAAATTTTGAGAAAAACAATATATCTGTTTTTTATAAAAAAAAAAGTAAAATAGTGTTTTACAACTTTTAATTTATAATCATAAATTAAAATTTTTAGTTTTAAAACGAATAGTATATTTAATGTATTAAAATTAAAATTATGTTAAACAATTTTTTTCTCCAATTTTAACGCCAAAATTGTTGAAAAAAGGTGCAAAACATTAAACCACACATTAGTTTGAAAAAAATCCATTGAAAAACAATATTGCCAATAATTGTAAATCCCCGTTTTTTTACAGAATTATATACTTAATATATGGAAATAACATGAAAATATTAGAGAGAATAGATTATTTTTTACAAAATGAAAGGGGTTTTCTATGAAAATGATAAAATAAAGTAAACAGATAATGCATTTATTAAAATATTCCCAAACATCCCATTACTTGACAAACAAAAATATTATTATTGAGTCTATAAAAAATATTGATAAACTTTTGTCCCACATTTGTATATTAAAAAGGTTCGACAAATGATCAGTAAAAACCTGTAAAATGTATTATTTTGAACGTTAAAATAAGGTGCCAATATTTGTTGACGCTTTGCTTCAAAAAGAAACATAAGAAAAGATGAAGTTCAAACATCCATTCCAAAAATACAGTCTAAACTCTTAACTGAACAAACACGAAGAAATGAATATTATTACAACAAGTGAAATGTGTAATTTGCCTATTTATTGTTGACACTGAACTCTTGGGATGTTACCAAGAGTAATAAGGTGCCAGTTATTAACTTGGATAGCTGTTGAGACTGTAACACCACTCCTAAAAGAGCCCACAAATTGGGTATTGACTCTTGTGAGGAGGTGGTTTGAATATTCAATTTGAGTTTTGAGTTGACTGATGTGGAGAATGAGGTCTTCTCCGACGTCGGCGCTTTGTTGCGGCAAATGGGCCGGTTGGACTTTTTTCTGTCTTAATTTTGGCTTCGTCACTTTCTCTCGTTTTCCTTCGGATAGCTTGTAAAATCCTCTGTTGTGTATTGTGTTCTTACCAGACTCGATCATCTGACAGTGATTAAACGCGTCCAAGAGCGCTTTCCTGTAGTGATTTGTTTTAAAGAGGGGTAAGTTACTTAGCAAAGCCCAGTGGTTTTTAATGAAGACGTTGATGTCATTTTTCAAAGAGAAAAACTCGACGTCTGGGTGCATTTCTTTGAGTGACTTGAGTATAATAATACACAATTTAGTGGTTTTCATTTTGGGGTCTTCGGCCTGGAAAACATCCTTTTTTTGACAAAGAGAGCAATGACACTTTTTGGGTGGTACTGGGGACGACGTGACGGTGCGTTCAGAACAGTCGGACATTGTATTAGAAGCCAGTTCTTCACCCTTAAATAGGGGAATTGGAAAGGCCCTAAAAACTTTGGTTAAAATAAGAGTGTGTTTTTGATGGTGAATAAAGTAAAGAGTAAAACACGGTGTGGAGTCGGGAATGACGGAATTGCTTTTTCAAAACCAGTCTTTTCAATCGAGAATTTTTGGGGGCTATTTTAGTAAAATTGAATTATTCTTTTTCACGTTGTGGAGACATTTGGTTGGGGTTCGACAAATCCCGCCCAATTAAGAGATGTCGTCTTTTTGGGAAGATTGTACAAACAAAGACTAATATATCACTGCTGGCGTAAACTGTTCCCAAATGTACGATTATCGGGTTTGGGGCAGAATGTGCTTTAAAATGGGCGACTTCATTGTACTCATCTTGCAAATTCCGCACGCGTTCTTGATGATTCTGTGGTTGTATTCAGAGCCCCTTTCAACTTACATTTTTTGGTATAGAAGGTGTTAAATGCTCTTTCAATAAATTTAAACTATTTTTATTCAAAGTAGTCGAAAAGTATGGGAATATCTCCCAAAACAAATATATAAAAAGAAATACGGTTTGAAGTGGATGGGTTGCTATGTTATGTAAAATGGTAATGCATTTGCCAATAAGGTTTCCTTCTTTTCAAATTATTATTTTTTTTCTCAAAGGGGTTGTTGTTTTTTTCAATTTCCTCTCAAATAATACCATTATTATTTTGTTTATAATAGTGCTGATATTACTACGAAAATAATGACAGTTCTCGCGAACTTTCACACATTCAAAAGAACTCGGGAAATTGCACTGTTAAAAATAAAACATGTAATAATAGAAATATTTGCGTATATATAGACCACAACAAAACTTTTTCGTTCAGAAACACAGCAAACAGATACCACAATTCGGGAGTTTGTGCGAACTAGTAATATTATTTTAAGTGAGCATCACAACCCTTTTGCTTTTTTCCAATGTCTTAAAAATTATGCATTTTTATATTAAAAAAACGGGAAATTAAGTGATTAGGAAATTGTTATTCTTTTTTTGTAAAGAAAAAAACAGCAAGAAACAGGAAAATCATCCAAATGAAAAGACCACAGAAATTGTTTTTTTGCTATTATTTTTTGTTTTGTTGGGACTTTTCCCGTTATTATACACAAAAATCGTCTGTCAGACATATACCAGACATTTTTGCTAAAAATGGCTGGATTTAGTGACAAAATGCTATTCATTTTTTTTCTCAATTGTGGAAACCCTGTTCAAATACACCATATTCTAGTTCATTAATAATAAAAAACTATACCTTGTGATTTGTAGAAGGACTCAAAACCTATTTTTGGCCAGATTCATTTCCAATAATTGTTTGATTTTTCCAAGATATTTGCGCGAGTGGATAAAGCAAAACATGGGAAATGGCTGTTATTATTCGTCGATTTATAAAAAATTGATAACAAGTTCTTATTCGGTGTTTCTAAACATAGAAAAACATTATTTTCACAAAACGATAGTTTGTATCAATGGTATTTTAGACTCCAATATTGTAACATTTCAGGTCATTTCGTATCGATTGTTTGGTAACTGTCTGTATTTGGACAATAAAAATGATACAAAGTAATGGGAAACATTAAAATAATTTACATGGTATTATTTGGAACTTTGAAAATGGATTCCCAAAATCATGTATTGTTATTGTCAAAACAAGTAACAAAGATAAACACAAACCTTTATTTACTGTCTATGTCTTTATTTTTTTATTATAACACGTTTTATTTGTGCTAAATATCGGGTGTGTTATAATTTAACAGACAATGACTAATAGTCAACACTTTTACTTATTTGGACGGACGTTTTTATTTATAACTCATAAATGTTCCAATGTTATCTAAACTAATAATATGATGATAAATATTATTTATTGTTTATAATAATATTATTAATTTTTTTGACTTATCAAAATATAATAAATATTTAATATGTTAAATATTATTCAAATGGTTAATTAATTAATAAAAAAAAGGTTAATATTTTTGATTTTTAATAAAACTTAAAAACCTCAATAATTAATGTTCAAAATATGAATTGTTAATTATAATTAATTATAAATTTCCATTCATGGTCAAAACGAAATTATTAATTAAATTTATTATTATAATAGGATTTGTCAATAAATTATTAAAATTTTGAGCTTTTAATTAATACAAGTTCTAAAACTAATAATTAGAATTGTAATGAAACGAATTGATGTGTACTCAATGCAAATTATATCGCAATATTTCCAATACGACAGCGACTTCAGAAATGTCGTGCAGGTGTGTTCCAAGTATCGTTTTGTCTTAGACAGATTTCGATCAAACCCCATTCAAATCACCGTCAACAACAAAAACTTGTTCCAGTGCCTTCAGACCCAATTTTTGTATTCATCATTAGACCCAAAACTCCCCAATGTCGACAAATATATTCATATGAAATCTGTATCATACGCATTCTCTCTTTCACACCAAACAGACAAGGACGAATTTCCACACATCCGATATTCACAACATGACATGAAGAAATACGGATCTTCTACCCTTCCCAATGTTGTATCCATTTTAAATGATCATATTATCGACAACAAAAATCGGAAGACCTTTGTAGTCCCCCCTTCCGTCCATTGCTTAGCGGGAAATTGTTTGAATAACTTGGCAATGACTTCCTTTGTGATTCCATCGTCAGTGACACACATCTCGGCTTCGTTATTTGAGTGCAACGAGCGTATCAAAGAAATCACTCTGCCTATCACTATCAACTACGTCCCACCAAGATGTTTCAACAACTGCGTTAAACTCTCCAAAGTGATTTTTGAAACAAACCCAATTCGAGTTGGGAACAAGGCATTTGGTGATACAGTCATTCCCGAGATTACTTATCCTGTCGAGGGGGTTTGTTTTGGCAATTCTGTCTATCAAAGCGGGCGTTTGTCCAGTGTCAACTTTATATCCCAAAGTGTTATTCCCAAAAACTTCTTTGCGTCGTGTATTTATCTGAAAGAAGTTGTTATGGACAATTCGGTTGTTACTGTGATGGATTCTGCATTTGATCAATGTCGTGCTCTCACTCAGTTAATACTTTCAAACAAAATCAAAGTGTTTGGTGCTCGTGCGTTTGCTGGGTGTCGGTTACTTGAAAAGATCGACATTCCAACAAGTCTCGAATATGTCGGGCCCCTTGTCTTTTTCGACTGTAAGAAGATGAAAGAGCTGGTGTTTCATGACAATGTGAAATTTACAGGGAGTGGCGTGTTTGCTGGATGTAACAAACTGACTAAACTGATTGTCCCACTTCACAACGGCAAGTTCAAATACCCTGTGATGAACGAAGAAGTGACAATATTGAATAAGCTGCATATTGAAACTATTGAATTTCTACAAATGAATACCAACTCGAAGTATGATGAATTAACAGGTGAAATGCGCCAAATATCAATGAAAAATTGTGAGAGTATTGGTCAAGTCACTGGGATGGATAAAATGGACCCGTCTTACCCCCTTTGTATATCATCAAAAATCGTGTTTCTGAACCAAATTGATAACCCCAGTTTTATATATAACGATGTCACTATATTGCCTAAACACTTGATCACTAATCACCTTCAAATCGACTCACTTAACTTCTTTGTATTGCCTACAAAGATTACTAAACTGACTGCAGAGATGTTTCGAAGTATTCCTTGCAAATGTTATACAGTTCCTTCGCACATACAAAGGATTGAAAAGGATGCGTTCAAGGAATTTTACGAGTTGCAAAGTTTGTATATACCGAGCAGTGTTACTTATATAGACAACGCATTTGTGAACGAGTGTTTTGATTTGACAAAACTGTGTTTCGAGGGAACTGGCGAAGTCGATGTGCATAAGTATGTGGACGTCCCGAAGAAACTGAGTGAAGAAAGTGTGGTCAAGAGTTTATTAGATTTCCCCGAGTTCGTCAACGAAACCAAAATAGTCTTTCCAACGACGATAACCAAACTGGAGGAATGTACAACTGATTTTAACTCCATTATTAAAGAAATTGAACTCCCAAGTACACTGACCAACATCGATAAAAACGCTTTCTGTGACTCTTTCTTGAGTAAAGGGTTGACCAAAATTACGAACCCAAATAACTGTGAATTGTTTTTCTATTACGGAGACTATAGAAAACTTAATGCGTGTGGGAACAATGGTATTAAGGCGATTTATGGCTATGATGATATCTTCCAATTTGGATACACCGTTCCAAAAGATGTCGATTTTATTGATCACCACTACACTCCCAGTTTACAACAATTTGTATTGGATGAACTACCTGAAAAGGTTACTCGCTTCAGTAAACTCTTTTTGAAGAACGCGAAGAACGTTTGCGTGCCAAGGAAAACGACTTCAATAGGCAATAGCGCGTTTTACATGATGCAAATAGAACGTGCAGATGTGACAGCAGTCAAAATGGTAATACCCAAGTTTTGCTTTGAGAAATGCTATTTACTTACTACTGTAGTGTTTGCAGAGACGGTCGAGACTATTCAACAGAACGCGTTCTCTGAGTGCATTTCTCTTAAAGAAATAAGTCTCCCCAAATCAGTCAAAACTGTTGGTCCACGTGCATTTTACAATTGTGTGTCACTTGAAACAATCAACTGTGATATTAATAAAGTATCTTATCAACTCGAGTGTTTCAGAGAGTGCAATGCATTGAAAGAATTTGTACTTCCATCAGAAATAGAAGAGTGTGTATTGTGGGGATGTCTTTCACTGACATCAGTCACCCTCTCGGAGGGCACTACAGACATCCCACAATGTCTCTTCTTCAAGTGCAACTCACTGATGAAAATTTCAATACCAAATTCAGTGACAAAAATTGGGGTGTTCGCGTTCAAAAACTGTTTTGCGATAGAAGATATTACTCTTCCATCTTCTATTAGTGTAGTTGAAGATGGCGCTTTCTTTGATTGCACGTCACTGAGAAATATCGAGTTTTTAGCGGAAAAGGTTGAGTTTGGCTTTAACGTGTTTGAGAATTGTAGTTCTCTCCGTGGATTTCAAGTTGGTGGACACCACACTGCCGTATTTCCATTTGGTGTATCCCTCTGGTTTTCTAAGTACTTTGAGAAGGCTGGGAAGTTTGAGAAGATCATATTAACGAGTGATGATTTGAAAAGGTATGGCATGTATGCACACTTGAATAAAGGTATTTCTGAGTTAGACGAGGGGTGTTACTTTGGGGTTGATAAATTGAAGGCTATTGTTTTACCTGATACCATTAGCGCGATTGGAAATTTCTGCTTTGCGTATTGTTCAAGTCTTGAAATTGTCAATTTACCACCAAATGTTATTGAAATACCAATACTTGCGTTTGATAGATGTATCAATTTGAAAAAGATTAATGTGGAGAACATTCAAGTGTTTGGGTATCACTCCTTCTTTGGGTGCACTTTGTTGTTGGACAACAAATTGGTTCCAGTCGAAACGATTAAAGGTGTAAAGGGTGAATATGATGAGGAGGAATATAATGAAGACGAAGGTGGAGACAATGGGTCAAGTTCTGATAATGATGAAGATGATAACAACAACGACCAACACCCGAATGAGGATAATGTGCCTCAAGAAGATGAAGAAATGAATGATGGTTATAACACAGAAAGTGATTATAGCAGTGAAGAAGATGAGGGGTACTATGTGGGTTCTGACGAAGATAAAACGGAGAGTTTTGAATAAGTTTATTGACTTTTTGGTATTCGATTGTTTTAACTTTAAGCGTCAAAGTAGTTTGAGGTTTGAAATCGATTTGAAGCGAGTGGAAATGTCTCAAGTTGTATCAGCGAAATCACTCGATTTTATCTTATTTTCTTATGAAATTAAATTAAAATTTATTTAACATTAAAAAAAACGTTAAAAAATTATTACCATCTTATAATGGTTAAATAATGGAAGAAATGACAACAAAACACTGTGAAAATTCAACTTATTGATATTTCTGTGAAAGACACTTGCAAATGCCATTGAAAAAAAACAAAAAACATATGGAATTATTTTTTATAAACTTGAAAAAATAATTGGAACTTTTTTATTTGAATGAATTGTATTATTTCAATATAATATTTTTATTATTAAAATATTATTTATAACTACAAGAGAAAAATGGTTTGCAAATTCCATCTTTCTCTCTTTTTCTATTGAAAAATAAAAAATAATTGTTAATAATAAGTTAATAATACATTCATTAAAAGAAAATTACTTTTTTTGTGTGTAATATTTCTTATTTCGGTTTTTATGTTTATAACAGCCATTTTTAGTCTAAAATTAAGGGCTTGTGATATTGAATTGAATAATTTTTTAGAAATATTTTTTAATTAAAAATAATGAGAACCAAATCTAACAAACAAAATTTGCATCTCATTTTCAAATATTAGGTATTATTAATAAATTTTACTATAATTTTACGTATATTGTTAGGAATTCGGCAAAGCTGGTGACTCAAAGCAACGGTATTCTAATAATGGAATTTTTCCTTTTTGGAAATTGAAGGCATTATATTCCTTGTAATTGAATTATAAATGATATATCATTCGAAATAATTAAAAGTAACTATTAATGTTTAATATGTCCTCGTTCTGGTAAACACTATAAACTTTTAGTTGGTTCAAAAAAAACTTAACATTCCCTCTGTTTTATCAAACTATAAAAATATAATATAATATTATAAATTATTTTACTTTTTAACTTACAAATCAACAAAGATTTTACAAAATGGCCCAAAAAACCATACTTTATATTGTTATAAACCATTAAATATAGTAACATTCTGATCTGTGCAAAAAGTGCATACTTTTGAACTCTACAAAAATCGAATCTTCGTCATTCGTTCTCGAAAAACTTCAGAAATAAAATGTAGAAAAGAAAAAAAAATCACAAAGTCAAGTAATGAGCGCAATCACATCAACCAAAACTGTTTTCACATGCGTTTGCGGAAACATCTCTGTTATAACGAAAAAAATCTGTGAAGAGTCTGATTTGAAATATCAGGAACAAAGTGAATGGAAAATGCCCATTTGTTCACAACAAGCACTTGTAACAGTGAAGTACCCAGAACTTCAGAAAGACACTTCTCTAACACAGAATGTCTCTATGTTGAGTTGCACTCTTTGTGGAACAGAGGTTTGCCAACACACTCATTTCAAAATGTTCAAAGAAGCATCAGTGAAGGTCAATCCTCTTTTAAGAAATGTCGATAGTCTTCGTAAGAACATGATTTACTCGGAGACGTTTGGCGTTTGGATTGAGATCAGTGACACGGAGAACTCCGACTACAAAATGAATGCAGTCGACAAAGAAATTTTGAGAAAAGAAAAAGAGACGATCGAAGAGCTCTTTGAGGAGAAGGAAAGGAAGGTGAGAGAGTTTGTGATGCAACAAGAAGACTTGTTTGAAGAACAACGACGCGAAATCAAGAATCAATTTTTGATGTTGAAGAAACAATGCGCGGTGAAGAGCGAAGTCCACTCCGCGTCATGTCCGTCATCTCCACTCCCACAGAATAATATACCCGGACAATGTCATCACTGTTCTTCTTCGCATCAATGGAGTGGACGTAATGATGTCTTTCTCTTTGATGAAGAAGAAGAAGAGAATTGTGAAGGAATGTCCTATGTAGAGCAAGAGAAGGCAGACAACAGAGTCTTCAAACATCTCAATTTTGTAGCCAACTCGGTCCCGACTAAAAACGATCAAGTCGAGGACGAGTATTACTTCCCAGCAACTTTTAAGGACTTTGCCTTCGAAAAGACTAAAAATGAATCGGCTGAAAGATTCTCATTTGCGGCAAACACACTAAAAAGGACGCTGATTTAGTGTTTCATATTGCAGATATTGGGACGGATTCGTCAAGAATATGGGAAATCGACTGCAATTGGTTGGGTCTTCACTGACACACCAAAATTGTGACAGGAAAGAGTCTATTAATTCAGTCTTCCTTCAATTAATTCAATTGGTCTTCATACTATATATATAGTTTATTTATACTAAAAACAAACCTTTCTTTTTTGTGCTAAAAAAGTGAAACTGTAAAACATTTTTCTAAAAATGTTATTAAAGAAAGTCTTAAAACTTCAATAGCCGCGAACTTGAAAAAAAGGGAGGCTTTAGACATGAGTATGACGTTGGGGAAGAAACGTACCCGAGACTACGGGAACAACAATAAGTTGCCACAAATCAATCCACGAACCCAATGTAACTTGAAAAAGTTGCGATTGGAGAGACTTAAGGACATCTTGTTGATTCAAAGAGACTTCATTGAGAACCAAGAACAAGTGAAACCCAAAGAAGAGATCGAGAAGGATTCAAGACAGCGAGTGGAGGAGTTAAGAGGAACTCCTTTAGAAATTTCTAAACTCCACGAAATGATAGATGACCACCACGCTATTATTAGTAGTGGTAACACAATTCAGTATTATGTACCTGTTCTCTCGATTGTAGACAGAGAACTGTTGGAACCGGGAGTTCAAGTGCTGACACACAATCACAACAAATCGATTGTCGGTATTCTCCAGAACGATGAAGACCCACACGTCTCTGTCATGAAAGTCGATAAAGCGCCGTTGGAGAGTTACGCAGACGTTGGTGGGCTTGAGCAACAAATTCAAGAGATTAAAGAAGCTGTGGAATTGCCATTGAGTCACCCAGAGCTGTATGAGGAGATTGGTATTAAACCACCAAAGGGCGTCATTTTGTATGGTCCACCAGGAACAGGAAAAACATTATTGGCCAAAGCTGTTGCCAACGAGACAAGTGCGACGTTCCTTCGAATTGTCGGATCTGAGCTGATTCAGAAATACTTAGGAGACGGTCCGAAACTTGTGAGAGAGTTGTTCCAAGCTGCTAAAGACAGTGCGCCGTCGATTGTATTCATTGATGAAATTGATGCTGTTGGTACAAAACGATATGATGCACAGTCGGGTGGAGAGAAGGAAATTCAAAGGACTATGTTGGAGTTGTTGAATCAACTCGATGGGTTTGATACGCGTGGGGAAGTGAAAGTCATCATAGCAACAAATCGTATTGACTCGTTAGACCCTGCACTTGTAAGACCGGGCAGAATTGATAGAAAAATAGAATTTCCGCTTCCCGACATCAAAACGAAGAGAAAAATCTTTGAAATTCACACGTCGAAAATGACACTAGAAGAAGGAGTTGATATGGAGGAGTTTGTCATGTCAAAGGATGACTTGTCTGGAGCGGACATTAAAGCCATTTGCACCGAGGCTGGGCTCTTAGCGCTGAGAGAAAGAAGAATGAAAGTCACTCAAGAGGACTTCAAAAAGGCAAAGGAGAAGGTGATGTATAGGAAGAAAGAAGGAGTACCTGATGGACTTTACCTCTAACACTTTGGTTTTTGATGGTTGTTATTTAATAAATGAACTATAAATCAATAGATAGTAGAATAGAGAAATTAGAGAAGAGAATATAGAAAGTGAGAGGAAAGAACTTAAAAATACAAGAGGATAAGACAATAATATGAGAGGAGTAGTAATGGCGATGGTTGTAATAACGTGTGTGGTTGGGATAATCACTCAAACTAATGACAAAGCCGTTATAAAAACAATTCAAAGAGCAGACAAAGCACTTCAACATGCTCATGTGATGATAAAGGAGCTTGAAGAGAAGAAAGCGATGTGGGACATTCAGAAGGGACAACAGAACAAGACGAATCAAAAGAAGGACAAAACAATTGAGAAAACAATTGAGAGGAATTATGTGATAGAAAATGTTATTCATGCCACTCCAAAAGTCAAAGATAGTGTTCTTTCTCTCAAAAAAGAACATAACAATTCTTCTATAAAATTTAACCCAAATGTCTACTTCGATGTCTTCCCTCAAGTCTTTCCTTTCATTTCACAAATTATGGACGTCACAAAATTTCGAGAAGGAAAAGACAAGTGCAACTCCACTGCGCCAAAAACAGGGTTTTATATCAACGTCGACATCCCCGAGAATAAAATGATTCGAGTGTCGACGTGTAATAAGGACACAACAGTCCATACCCAAATCACTATGACGTACCAAGGGGAGTGTGTTAAAACTGTTGAAAGGAAATGCCGAAGATGGCCCGGAAGTATTGTGGAGTATATTCCGCGTGGAAAGTATGGTATGCGAGCTCGAATTCGAATTGGTGCAAATAAAGTGAAGAAGGGGAAGGTAAGTGTATCAGTGTTTACGGTACCCGTTACTCAGAAAAACAAGAAGAAACTGATTGAAGGGAAAATCATCAGTAGTCTTGGTAAGAACGGCAGTTTGCTTCAAACAAAAGTCCGAAAAAGCTACCACCCGAGTGCTGCAAATATCAATGAATTGTCCACATCGGAAAGAAATGAACTTCTTGAGAAAGCGAGTCTGAACATACAAAATCCTTC